TTTTCCAAACGTGGAATACCGAGACGAAAAGTAGTTCGCGAGCGTTGGCGGAATGATTTTTGCAGCAACCATTGTTCGCTGGTTCCACTATACGGACAGAGCACAGCCGGAATATTTCTGCACTTCTGAAGCACGTCACAAGCACGTGAATCGGAAGACTTGTAAAAATGAAAAGGTACGTACCGGAAACAACAATCCCCATCAAGGGGCGGAAGTCAATAAGCGGAATGCCAACCAAACGCTGACGCAGCGCTCCTATCCTCACTGATTGGAAAGCAGTGCTATACTTCGTTTCAGCTTCGGTCCAGACGCAGCCAATGCTACAAGCGCGAGCATGTGGCCCAGAACAGTGCTTGCACTGCACGAGCGCGCGTGCTTGGCAGGGATGCTGAAAGCCCGGAGCTCGCGCTTGTAGCTTTGGCTGCGTCTGGACCGAAGCTGAAACGAAGTATAGCCGAGTGTCTTCCTCAAGTGCCTCCATGTTACTCCTCGCGGACACTAAAGTCCCGTTCACACACTTGCAACCGGCTACAACTGACTGAGACAAGACCGGTTCCTAGGCGTCTCGCAACGGCTTACAACCGGATGTGCTGCTGGTGAGCCGGACGTAAGCCGTTACAAGAAGCTTAAAGCGGTCCTGTCTCAGTCGGTAGAAGTCAAGCACAAGTGTGGGAACGGGCCTTAAGCATCACATATTCATACATTCAGCCGCTCTCTGCTACATGAAGCAAACGCTCTGTGGGCCTCCCCAGGGGAAGAACGCAAGGGAGAGGGGCAGCAAAGCAGAGAAAACATATGGCGCACCAAAAGGACACCTCGTAGTCGTTTGGCGATGGGGACGACGATGCTACTCCTCGGAGTGCGGTCAGTCTCCACCATTAGTGGCAAGGTGCCTCTAAACGCGTGCGCAGGCTTGCAGTCGAGACAAATGCATGTCTATACTCGGTTTTGCGATAACTTGGTGAACTGTAGAGGCTACGGTACCCGCGACCCAATAAGAGTGTCAGAGCGACGCAAATGACCCCACGTCACGGGAGCGTTTATGTCACTGCGCCAAATGCGAGGCCCGGTGGAACTGGCTGTCACCTGCTGGTCAAGGGTCGACTGCCGCGACACAAACCAGGTTCGGATGAATCAGTGCGGGTGCTAATGCAAGGGAGACGTTTTTGAGCGGAAGCGGTGGATTACAGGGCTCTGATCGTTCAAACACCCTTCAAAAGCTACGGTGCACTCGGAAATGGGGTGATCTGAATTATGTATCGTTGAAAGGTAACATGCCTTCGTCTATCTTCCCTGTCTTGTAGCGAGGTATTCATATAGATGCAATCACGCTAGTTTAGTTGAACTTAAACTAAAACAAAACCTAGAGTCTTTTTTTTTTTTGTCGCAGACGGCGCAGTTGCTGTGGCGGCAACGAGGCCTATGTGACCTCGACCACGAAGTGTTGCTGTCGCGTGCCTTGCCCCCTTATTGGGCCGCGGGGACCGCAGCCTCCACAGTTCGCAAAATAACCGTGAGGCAGTGTATAGCAAACTCTCGTACACGAAATCACGCTGTATAGTGATAGTACTTTTCGGCTCCAAGAATACTTTACAACACTTTGTATGCAACGAGAGGACGATACTCTGGGTACGAACACCGCTTTACAACCACCTCTTAATTCGAATCTAATAAATGACGCACGCTAGCATTCGCGCCATTCAGTGTCCAGATGTGCATACAGTTTCTCCTAAACTAATACGTTACATTCTCTGTTACCACTGCAGTTCCCATGCTAGTACGGCAAAGGGTCGACTTTTTGACGTGACAATGTCTCACCCGAAGAGGTGCATGTACGGTCACTACTGCCACAAAAATATACATCACAACTGGGCGGTTCCATGTGACACACCTTGAGCTCGGAATTTCGGGCCCGCTATGAAGACACCTGTAGATGCCGGTGACGCACCATGACATAGAGAGCATTCATTGTTAATGTAAGTGACTATGGCTATGCACACCCAATCAAGCTACCACTAAACAAACTGTATTTGCAACAATATCTAAAATACTATAATTTTCAATCCTTATTATATTGTCGTAGCCGATCCCGAACGCAGTGCAGTACATGTCGGTCGGCCCCAGGGAGCTAAAGACGGAAACAAAAAGCTGCGAATTTTGAACCCTGATTTTGGTGGCCCGGTAGAAAAAAAAAAACGAAAAAAAAAACAAACAAAAACGAAAGAGCGAACAAAAAAAAAAAATGAAAGCCGTTTACAAGTTTCTGTAACGCCGGATTGGAGGGTAGCTCTTGAGGAGGAGGAGGGAAGGGTACTGAGGGGAGGGTATATTCTTCCTCCCTCCTCCTCCCTCGTGATCCTGCCTGCTACTCCTGAGCGAAAGAGCTCCAGTTTGAAGCCGGCCGAGGGACAAAAGATAAGAGTCTTTTAAAATCAATTCTCGGAGTAATGAAAATTCGGATTCGTCCCGTCTGCTCATACTCCCTGCTCCCCTCCTTTCTCCTCCTCCCCTCACAGGGGTTACGTGATATCGGGGGGGGGGGGGGGGGGGGGGGTCACGTGACCTGGGGGTGTCGCGTGACCGGGGGGTCACACGATCTCACGGTTTTGCCGACGGCAACACCGCTCAAGCCGGAAACAGGCGCCTAAGAGCTGCGCTCTAAAAAAAGCTGACGTCACTTTAGGCGTGTTTGTCTTGGCGCCACGAGTTGAAGTAGCTTGAGTGCCTGTTAAATTTATTTATTTATATACAATGCGCGCTTTAGGTATTTCTCTTCAAAGGGAGCTATAAAAGAACTGGGTACAGACTTTTCAGGCACTTTTGCTGCTTCTGTTTAGATATTAAGGAGTCGCCAGCGATATGGGACCATCGGGACTGGCGACTGATACTCCCAATGTCCGCGCCTATGCACCACCTTTCCGATGGGGCCCGAATGCTTCAGAAGTTTACCTCTAGATTAGTATATGAGCTCTATGGTCGGCAATCGTGGAGTCGGTCTTCCGTCCCATAGTCATGAACTGTAAGCCCATCCCGGAGGCAGTGCCATACACTTCGGTTGGCGTTCAAGGAGGCGTTAGGCCACGTTACCGCTGAAACGCTTCCAGATGTATCATATTTCTCCTACCATTGCCCTATAATCACTCCCTTGTTATCGTCAAGGAGTTTTGTGTCCGATGGTCAAATGTAAGGTGCGTTTTTATCTGCACTTTTTTCGACTGCCTGTGTGACCTCTGATTTAATATGCTTGTGTCGTGTCTCGACATTTGTTTCGTTCAGTTTCTTTGGTATCGTTTGTTCAGTAGTATGTTTACCTCGTGTTTAAATATTAGTTTCTTTCAATATATTTTGTGACTAACGAATAGGTGAGTTACAATTATCCTTGTGTTTTATTGTATTAATTCCGTTACACCAAAATAAATATGATACATTGTATATATGCGTAGGCACGTAGACGTTGTCACGTCTAAAACTTGCGGCCGTGTCGTATTTACCACCTACCCGCCCTTTTTTTATTATAACCTCCCTCAAGTTGGTAATAATGGTTTTCAGTACTTCAGTCTATAAGTGAAAGCTGCCTCGTTTATTTAACCGAAGTCTGAAAATCGTTGCAGTGCTCCTTAGGCGTGGGGATCTAAACTTGGTGGATTTTTTGCAGATACTTTATGTGTGCGTTTCACCAAACAAATATTGTGTACCCAAGATCTTAGCACCTAAAGAAATAACAGTTTTTTGTATCTCTCGTCGTGCCTTTTTTAATTATATACAATAAAATAATAAAAAAGTTATCACAATAGAATATTTTGTATTTGACAGTATAGATACAGCAAAAACCGTATAAAAGATCGTAGAAATGTCAGAATTTTTTTGTCATATCCAGAAGCTTCCAAATTATAATAATTGAATAAATATATATTCAATCCTTTTTTAGTTATAGGAACCAGCAATTATAAAATATACACATAAAAATGTATAAATACATTTGGTGGATATATGTTCACTTTTGTTCATACACAAAGAACCAAAAATGACAGAAGTAGAGGTAATACATAGTACCTGGATGAAAGTAGAACATTTGCTTTCGCGATTTCTCGTGAGTTAGCATGTATGAAATGAAATCTTGCTTCTGTGGTGTCTCTAACCGTGCTCACCTCAAGAACCGTACGTAGTAAAAAAAAACTCAGACTCATGGAGGGGCATCACTAAATTCCCCTTCCACTTAAAAAAAGTAAGATATATGTGGGTGCTTTTTAGATTAGACACATGTTATCTCACCAAGACATACATGTTTCAAACGCCAAAAACCATAAATTGTGCCTCTGACAACCAAACTTGCAAGCACTACATCACGCGGCGCATGAACGATGCGCAAAACTTCCTTTTTTTTTAGCTGAAAACGAGTACGCGCCGAAAAACAGAGGGAGAGGAGGAAACAAGAGCGTATGTAGACGGTCAGAACGCCGAGTTTTGATTCAAATGATCAGTGTGCAGACCTAAATCTAGCTGCCTTTCTTTTCACTGCGCTGGTGAGCCGCGTTCGATTGCGAGAACCAAACGCCGGACGCTGGCGTTCCTGCGTTCTAACGCGTTCGACGAGAGCAGTGGAGACAAAGGCAGGCTAGCTTTAGGTCTACTTCCTAATCGTTCGAATCAGAGCTTGGTGATCTGACGCCCCCGCCTCTCTCGTCTCCTTCATTTCCTCATATGAAGAGAGTATAAGCTAAAGCCTTTTGATGAAACAAATTACATTTCCATTTATTCATGAAGGCGGTTGAGCGACCACCTGCGTTGAGTTTTAATATAATCATGAGACACTAAATTCAAATGTGTTTTATAGAAGTATTTACTATGTAACAGCTATAATTAACAAATCAAATATTATTATTTTTATTAAATTATTTTATCTATTAAAAAAACATTCTTAATTTTGGAGAGTAGCGATTACTTTTTTGGAGGCCAATGTGAGAGTGGCAATGTTTTATTTTTTGGTATTTAATATCGCGGTCTTCTTTACTTCGCACATTTGTCACTTTGTGTTATGTTAGTTATGTCTTCACATTTTCCAAACCAGCATCGCTGAAAGAAAACCGTTTTAAAGTTAGTTCTCTTCTAACTGAACTGATCTTGTTGAACATTGGCATTAAGATGTGACAAATATATTTGCATCAAAATGCTTTTTAATACAATATTCATTGTTTATGTTTGTTAAAAAAACATAAAAATTCATTCCTGGATATTTTTTAAAAGACACAAAAAAAGTAATCTTAGTCGGGAGCTATTTAAAGGAAGACTTATATAAATTATTTACACAATGAAAATGTGAGGTACACAGCACATCCCTTTCGTTGTTTTACGATTCTCCTGAACGTTGTTTGGCCAACCACTTCTACGTCGAGTGAAAGGCAAGTGTACCTTTTAAAAACGATATTAAACAAACATTCCCCTCGCAATAAACAGTGGCCTTCTGGGCATGCATTTAGAGACTCTAGTGGTAATAGAACTTGTAGAGGTCAGTTGATAACTTCGCCATGTGGCCATCTTATCTCACAAGAAGTCACCTTGCCATAGTGGCATGAATATGTTTGTGTAATTGACCCTTTTTCCAGAACTGGCGGAGAAGAAAATGTTCGCACTCCTCTATAGTCCAATTTTTATCCGATTTTATGTACTTTGTATATTGGAGCACTGATCTAATCTTGAATCTATACCACCTGTTCTACTTGTGAAAAACACATTTGGTCTCCGAAGAGAAAAATGTCAAAAAGTATTTGTGTGATGCCTACCTTTCCATTTCCGCAAGGGTAGCCAAACGGGGCAGGGTAGGTTTTGGGCCGCTGACTATTTTTGTTCCTGCACTTTATGACGCACTCCTCTATAGTCTGACAATGTTTGGAGAAAGGAAAGTAATAAAGTTCTAATAATTTCTTTGTCTAAAAATGTGTTCTCATTAGTAACATTATTCAAACCTTGAAACGCGCAAAACATATTCCCGAACACCTCTTATTCGCGAATATTTTGAGCTTGAAACAACATATACACAAATAACAGCAAATCTGTGGGGTGAGGTATTGGTCACAAGATGCCCATCATTAATTCGAAACAAAATAAGTGAATAAAAATAGCATTGGTGCTTTTTGTATAAAATTCATACAATGTCCGAGGGGCACGTTTTATATTTAGAAGGTGCGCCTTTATTTATGCCATCGCCGAATATATTAATATAGGTGTAATTGGGAGGCAAGATACCCGTGATGTTTTTTGCACTCCTGTTGTGGAGGTTTCAAAGCTAGGAAAAGTATATATACTTTATCTATTGGGTACGATGTTCATCAGCGTTCACTTAAATATGTCGTGTTTAAACCAATTTAATGATAGCTCAGGTGTACACGTATTCAGTCAACATGGAAGGGGTGGCAGTAGATAATCTTACATATCTCCGTCCCGTTTGCGATGTCAGCATTTTTAGAGATCTACATTGCGTAAAAACACATTACTAAAGACAGAGATAACGACCAACGCCCTGCGGATATGAATAACGAGACTACAAAGGATGCTACGCTGAGATTTCCAGCATCAAAAGAATAAAGTTATGGCGGTGCGGCTGACAGCAGTAGAGGCAAGCGCGTTCCTCTGCACCTCGTCATTCGTATTCCGAGCGGAGGAATACGGTGCGAGCGGGAGACGGGAGATAAGGAGGCGGCGAGTAAGAGAAGGAAAACGCACCCGCTGCCGGGAGAGAAACTCACATTGCGTCCTCAACTATAAAATCAAACGGGCCATGTAATCCATTTGTTGCATACATTTTATGTTCGTGAAAACGACATGTCAGTTTAAACAAAGAGTGGCGGACGTAAACGGAACGCTGAAGGGTACACTCGAACGATTGTAAAACATTTATTTTATTATGGTAGGTGGTAAATAAAAACCCGGAGACAAGGGAGGTAAAAAAAAAAAGGGGGGGGGGGGGGAAATGGGGCAGAACAACGATGTTTTAATAATGCGTTTACGCGTGTCTTCGGGTTTTCTTTGGAAATTTCTCCACAAGCTCACCTGCATTTCATCTATCATTACATTATTATAGAGACGAATGCAGAGAAGGCGCACAACCACAACCAAGATTCGATGTTTATGCGATATTTCTTATAGGAGTTTCGTCCTGTCATATTGGGAACAACGTCATAAATTATAAATGATATATTATCGTTTTTAAGGAAGATTTTTTTCCATAAAGATATAGAACGCCAAAATTTTCTTACGGCAGAATTGTACAGCTCCGGATTAATACGGTAGCAGTATTTATCCGCTGTTATTTTTGAGCCCGCTACCTCCTTAGTGACATTAAAAAGGTCATAGTCGGATTCCATTTTCCAGCATTGCTCTCCGCGTAACCTGGAACAAATTTACCTTAGTACAAATTTCAAGGTTTAGAAAATGCCTTGAAGCCTCGCACTGTAAGTCTAAGCTTAGTATTTATTCAATCGAAGACAAAATGCGTTTTTAACGAAACAACATGTTACACGACGTTCTGCATTGCAACTAAAAAATGTACTGTGTTTTTACTCTCGCGTAATATACTTATAGAAATTATCCCCGTGTATAAAAAAAACGCCCTGAGTTACGTTGAAATATTTTCCTCTTTCCAGCTCGTAAAAACGCACAAACATGCCCAGTACACAATGGCAGTGCATAGCTGCACGTTATGAAATTATTATCAAATCAAATCAAATCAGTTTATTTTCAACTTGTACAAAGAAGATGAAGGAGCTATAAAAAAAAGCTACAGCATTGCAGCTTGACGAGTCCACAGACCCTTAATATTGGCAGCTAAGCAGCATTGTGCTAAAGTATTCACAGAAGAGAAAAAACAAAAACAAAAAAGGCGGGAAGAAAAGTAATCTTAACAATACATTGCAAGAACACACTCACCGAAAAAAAATATTGTGATAATAAATGTTTAGGGCGCACGCATTAAAAAAAATCATACTTTCTCGGTTCCATAGATTCTACGGAGTTCACTGTACGTACAGGTAAATAGATCAAAATGCACAAGATGATATCTATTTAATAAAGACGGTAGTATAAAACTTAAGCAATCTTTCTCATAGTTCAAACGAGGTGTACGCACTACCCAATTTTCCTTATGCCTTGTTGAGTAACTAGTTATGTTGTTTATTTGAACATGAGTCAGATGACGTAAGTTAGTGATTTTGTTTCGTGTTTATAATTTATACCTCGAACTTAATCGATATCTATACGAGTTTAACGCTCTAATCACATGGGAGCGGTAGAACAAGTTAGTACTTGGCACTTCGTAAGGCTCATTGTAAATATGCCCAAGACATTTTGTTTTGTAATATATAAACAAGTTGTAGGTTTGAAAACGTTGTTGTTCCCCATACCAATTGACAATAGTTTAGATAAGAGTTATTAGCTAGCCATTCTCTTCAATTGGAGGATACTTTTCGTTTCCGTAAAAACACTTTCTGCGGCTATTTTTATTTTCAATGGTCAGATGGGGTGATATTTAATTGCAAGGAAAGCTGCGGTCTCCAATATTTTTGATGACTAGCGAGTTGTGGGATCCGCTCATTCGTACACTAGTTATTTTTTGTCCATTGAAAGTATAACGATAAATTAAGTCATATAGGGAGGTATTGCATGCGATATATTCAGTCACAGTTTGCCAACTGTTATTTGTATAAGTCTAATTGTAAAACTGGTAGAGAGCCGAGTCGCACTGCTAACAATTGAATATAAACTGCAACGCCCGTCAAGAGGTTTCAGTAGCAGTCATAATTCGCAAACTCATATATAGGTAATGCTGTTCATCATCAGACTCATCCTAATCCATCATGCACATATTTAGAGGGAAAATCAACCTATTTCTTGTAGTTCTTAAATCGGCTGAAAGCTCGCAGACTGTATATATATTTATAGCTGTATTAAACTACTAGAAAAATATTGAAAAAAAAAGTCAAAGAAGCATTACATAGCTTGCAGCCGGTGGCCTTTGAACTGTCAACACGAAACAAGTACCTACTTTTTTTTCTTTTCGTGTGCTTCACAGAAAATAGGACGAACGGGCACCTGAGACGCTAGTTTGGAGAAACTGTGAACATATGTGGAGACTGGAGGGTGCGAAGCTGCCCTGTGTCGTGCAAGAGAAGCACGTGAGCGCCCTGTGGACGTCTTACTTGTGGTTGCCATCTTCTGCGGTTGCAGTGTAAATGCGTGCCTTTCTGGAGCCTGTTGGAGTGTAAGGCGTACTAGACGGAGCGTGCGGAAAACAGAACAATTGGAACGTGAAAGCGCCGAGCAGAGCTCTGGCGCCAGTTTGCGTTAAAAGAGGACCAAACACTAGGAACTACATCAAGCCGTTGTGGCAAATGAGTCCGATTTTTTCTCTCTCTGCTTTTCTTTCGCTATTTCTTGCGTTCTTTCTCTAGCGAAGCCTGAAGCGCGCTCGTTTCATAAAGCAGAGCGCCGCTGTATGCGTGAATAGACGAGTTGACCCTTCTAGGAGTAACATGGAAGCAATAGAGGAAGAGCTTCGGCTGGCACAGGTGTTTACTCAGTGAGAACACGAGCAGTGCGTCAGCGTTCGGCTGGCTGTCGCCCTATTTTTTGCTGTCACCGTACCGGATGTGGTTATATGCCAGCGATATAACACATCCTGTATTAAAACGATCGTTGAAGGGAGACCGCACAAACAATGAAAGACCAGCTAAAGCTTTCCAGAGAGATTACCAAGTTTGGTATCCTACAAGAAAGTGCAAAAGTGCCATACCATGCTCTCATAAGTTTTCGGCCCTTAAACAAAAGCACGTAAAAGGGTAATCTGACGATCCAATGAAGCCGTAACGACCCTAGAAAAGTTGTGTTTGGTAAAAGAAAATGTACCAGCGACATTCGGTGTAGAGCAAAGTCAAAAGTTTGGGAAGATTAAGTGCCTTGCTCAAAGTCAAAGGGACCCGATGACGCAAACATAGAACCAGCTGCAAACTTCACTAGTCCTACGGGACCATACTCAGATGCTTTTCCCAAACTTGGAAAGGTTAAGAAATTTGCGCAGCATATTCGTATACGGCGTTGTACACCCAGCAATAAGGGTGTCAATGGTGTATCAAAAAGTCAAATGCACTCTTCAAGTAATTAAAAGCGAAGGGGTTCTCCCGAAAGTCTAAGAGCTAATAACACAGTCAAGTTTTATGGTAGTTGTCGGAAAGACGAAGTGAGGATCTGCCTAGATTTGTTGACCTTAATTGTGAAGTTTTAAACAAAAACAAAATTTCCCAGTGAAGACAATGAATGATATCGCCGCGCAAATTGAAGGACCGAGATTGTTTTCAGTACTCAAGCCATCTTTGGGATTTTGAAAAATAGAGCTTGATAAACAAAGTTCTAAGTGGCCCACCATGCCTCCGCCGTACGGAAAGTATAGGTTCAAACAAATGCCACTTGGAGTAAACGCTGCCCGTGAAGTGTTTTAGCGTGTCATGAACGAGGTTTTAATTGGACACGCCAGAGTACCGGTCGTGATAAACGATATAGTAGTGTGGGGTAAGATCCGGCAAGAAATTGATGAAATCCACAACACTTGCATTAACGCGGCCGTGAAGCCAATCTACTATTTAACCGCATGAAGAGTCAGTTTTCCAAGACAGACGTCCGCTTCCTAAGACAAGTTATTACTGGGGATGGTATTGACTCTGATTAAGAAAGGATTAGAGACATACTGATATGAAAGAACCAAAGGTTCGCAAAAAACTTCGAACCTTCTTTGGAATTATCACATATCTGTCGAACTTTATACCACTAATTTCTGAGCGAGCGGCAGTACACTGCGGGAACCGCTCAAGAAGAAGATCGCATTGCTATAACCGGAATAGCAGCAAAATAATTTCGAAGATCTGTGAGGCGCGGTTCGACAAGTACGCCTATCCTTGCCTACTACCCTTACGGAAAGCCCATAAAGCTTTCAGTTGATGCAAACCAGTATGGGACAGGAGCCGTTACACCCCAGGAAGTAAGACATTTGTTATATTCGTCACGATCTTTGACAGCAGCGCAGATAAGGTGTGCACAGATCGAGAAAGGGATTCTCGCTATTGTTCACGAATTGACTAAGTTTCATAAGTATACAAATGAAGCGAAACCCTCGAATAAGATAAAAGGTCTTTACAAGTTATCGCGAAACCATTGCATAATGCCCGTTGAGACTGCAGCGAGTGAATATGGCTCTCCAGAAATATTCGTTGGCAGTAAAGTTCATATCAAAAAAAGAATCGCTACTTGCCGTCAGCCTTTTCTGATTTTCGGGGGGAAAAAACGCAAAAGGAGACAAATGTTAAATGAACGCAGTACACAATAAGTTACACACAACCACGCAGGAGTAGTAAGAGACGCTACTACAGATGACGCACAAATGTACTGGTTGCGTGTATATGAACAGACAGAATCGCAGCAGGAAAAGAATAAGGTACCACAACTTGGAAGACTTTTCTTGTTTTATTGATAGGAGATATACCAAGCAGACGGCCTTGTACTACATTTGAAAATCCAAGCATACCAGCAGCCACCAGCACACGACGGCAAACGCGTGCAAATACAAGATGAACAGCAGAGGTAGGTAAATTTTGGTTTTCCTTAAAATCGCCACCAACATTGAGTGAGAATACAACAAAGCAGCAAGTGCCAAAAGTTCAAGTAAAAGAGTCAAGGTATTGCCCTTTAGTGACACAATACCAACGCTGCCATGGCAGTTTTTAAGGATAGACGTCGACCCATCAAGGAAAAAACTACGTAATCATGGTCGATTTCTCCGCACTGTACTTGTGAATGGAGAACAAAAAGCGCCACCTCTTCCAAATTACGTTCTGGTGGAAGGTCCTTACAACACCTGTACCGCCTTTGAGTATCGTAGACGACAATGGTCCTTCGTTTGAAAGCTAAGAGTTCAGACAGTTCCTAGAACATTTGAAGATACAAGACTCCATGTTCCTAGCACGTTCGATCTTATGACACGTCCGAACGAGCAATAACTCTTGAGTAAAATGAAAAAGAACGAAAAGTTTTACATAGCACTCCTTGAGTGGCGACACACTCTGTGATAAAAGGTCCTACAGCCACAAGTAGAAATTATAATGAGCAGATACACTAGCACACAAGTGACTACCTGGTCGGAATATTAGCTGCCTGCTGCGCTCTTACAAAAAAGGGCATCTAGAGTTCTTCCTAAAAGGAGGAACGGTATTGTAACATATGTTCATTTAGAAAGGGGAAACGTTTGTTCTTAAAGCAGGGAAGCGAATTTCCTCCGTCGCCGGCATCTCGTATGGCGGCCCCGAATTGAGCAATTTGAGCTCAATAAGGCTTAACGAGGACGCTACGTCTTTTGTATGGGACGAGAGGAGCAGCAAATAAAAGCGTAACACGAGCTTTCCGCGAACTGTGTTTATTTCCGAAGCCAGCTTCCCTCCGCTGGTAAAGAAACTTGATTTTCAAAACAGCTACTCAGTCTTCTCGTCGTCAGCACTGCGATGTCGAACGGAGACAACCGATACCCAGTTAGTTCGCGCACTTTACGACTTACCTTTGCTGCTTCTCGAGTCACAATTCCTTCGTCAACCGCACATCAGGGAGGAAGGATAAACCAATTCGCGAAACAAAAAGCCGCTCTCAAAAGAACCAACTCGAAGCCGCTATTGCAAAGTAACGAGAAATTACCGCGTAGCTTGAAAGAAGATTAAATCGCTTGCCACCAGATGGCAGGGTCAAGCAGGGTAATTGCAAGATTGCAAGTAGCTAGGCTAGGTTGCGCTACGTACACACGCCGGCAATATGAAGGTGAACGCCTGGCCGTCGACCGCTCCGTGCAACCAGCGCCATGACGTGGCTGCCAGGGCAGCCGCGTCATGGCGCTGATAGCATGGAGCGGTCGACGGCCCGGCGTTCATCTTCATATCGCACACGACTGTATTACCCAATTCATGTTCTAGAAAAAATAAATATTTTTCATTTGCTCACGCCACCATTTCGCTTCGGGATCTTCGGGAACCTTAACTATACACACATGTAGATATATTATACAGACCACAAGCATCAGCTGAATATATACATTGATCGCATTCACATACACGGCACGTACAAAACATCAATACAACAGCACACTAACCCGATCACTACTTCCGAGCTCTGCGTTTCCGTCTATACTGGTCGTTTTGAACGCACGGAATTTCTCAGTGACCGCCTAAGCATTACAAAATATTCCCAGCACGTTGATTTTGTTTTTCAGCAATGTCATTGCTCTGAGAATATTTTGAATGGCCCAGGGAACGAATCTCTTCGTAAAAATTCAACGCTCAGGCTACGATGTTTTGACTGAAAGCCAATAAATCAATCCGCTCCAATTCGGTTTTAAGCCATGTGTTTGCTTTCCCCCACGGCACGTCGTAACCAGTATTTCTATTGTAATGTTTTTTGTTTTTTTTTCTATTTCTGCTGTTTGCGCACGGCTGCAATTGTCGTCTTGAATTAATCTCTCCAGAGCGCATATTTACTCAGCTGGAAGTGATGCTTCACGGCTGCGCTACGCAGAGAAATCGCTTTTCGATCAACTTGAATGCAGTCTAAGCCGCGACTTTCGGCAGGGAGCGACGCCGTGGCAAGCTCAAAAACTTCTAGCGCTCATGCCATCGCGCCACTTGGAGGGCAGTTCCTCCAGGAACCGTAGTATATTTAAACAGCAAAATAAATGATAGCCTTTTTCTTTTGTCGATTTTACCTACCATCCTCCCTTATTGCTAAAGTTCTAAACAGTAAATATACGTAGTTTCCGTCAAATTTTTATACTGTTCAGTTCTTTCCCCATAGCACAATCGCTCTCGGGGAGGAGACAACCGACAGTCAGATTGGCCACTGTCCAATAGGAGCTACGGTTCATACCAACGTTTCAACAGGACTATTCGCACGTCGATCAATTGCACCTAATCCGTCAAGTGGTCTTAATCTCTTTAATGTAAAGCGGAATGTCAACCCGCGACGCCCGCCCCCTCCGATCACGGCCCGACCAGCGGCATCAATGCCCGACAGTTTGCGTCATCTCATCTTGTTGTTACACCACTGATACGCGAACACACGGTCACATCGGCGATAATTCTAGTCTTCTGTTCAGAACGCACAACACTACCATCGCGATGTTGTTGCTATGTTTCTGACACGAAGAAATACAGAACTACGTTGACTGCCGGTTGGCAATCGGCATCGGAATAGAGAACCAAACTCAGCAAAGAAGGCATTCAGGCACCCGGCAGCAAAACTTGCCTCTCTAGGAAACAGTTTCCGCGATTTCCGTAACGTCGTCGACGTCAACACATCCACTGTGGACACATCGTTCCGCGCGGTCCGCATGGTTCCGCGTGGGTTCCGCAATCCGGAGATGGATATCATAGCCCAGGGTACGCAACGCTGCTGGCACTGCTCCGGAACTTCGCTGTTTCTAGCGGCTTCGTTTGCTCGTTTGATAAAATTAGTGGTAAAAACGTCAGTGCGACCAATAGGTTCTGCATGTTTGTACTGGGAGACGGAATTACAGGCGGCCTTCGTCGCCGCTTAAGCGCAATCCACTCAACAACATTTATTAAGCGACATTCACGATGTGTTCGAAAAACGGAACCAAAAGAATATGAGTCGGGAGGGCAGAAACTCTCTCACGTCAGCCTGGAGGAGGAGAAAAACGTCTCGTTCCTCCCCCTTCCCCTTGTCCGCTTGGGGGCGTGTCTGAAGAAGGGAGGAAAATCCACCGTTGCTACCTTTTTCCTCCAGTTTTTTTAAATTTTTTTTTTAAAGTGTGTGGTGCCACCGGAGGCTGTCAGAGACCGCTTAACAGAAATGTGACAAACGCGGAAGGCAAATTTTGATAAGAGCTCACGAACACTACCATATATTGAAACGGGCACAGCGATCAACGTCGGCAGCACCTTGCGGCATACATGGTCAACTGCTATGGTTGTGAACAATTGTGCACCAAGGCCCTAAAACATTCTGAAACTAGAGGGAGAACTTTTCTGAAGGACACGTGAACACCTGAAACCGGTGACTTACTTTCGAGAAGATGAAACCTCTACTCGTCAGAGAAGCAAAGCACTGACAAAAACAATTTTCAGCTTCTTCAACGAGATAAAAGGAAAGAATGCCTCCACAAAGTATTCAGACGTCCGGTACTAAAGGCTAATTTTGTTTTATCGAGGGAAACAATGTAGTCAGCGGCACCACTGAAAGATCACGATAAGCAGGGAGGCACGCGGTGGACAGAATCATTCATTTGAATCATGACGCTGGTTGATGCATTCCCGTCTTACAGAGAGATGGGTAAAATTGAAGATAATTAGAAAAAAAAAAAAAAACTAAAACCACGGAAGTTTTAGTTTTTTTTTATTAAACTATATGTGATTTCTCAAAAATTAACTATAGCAAAATTAAAAAAAAAAACAGCTAGATATTATTATGAAAAAAAAAAGAGATTAGGGAGCATTCATATAATGCTCTTAGATTAGCTAGCTCAAAAGATCGACGAAATTTCCGTTTACGAAATAACAACCGTCATCCAGCTAATCTACTTCAGAAGGGAAGTAATGTCACGACCCCAGCTCACTTAGGTAGTTTTGGCGTGTCTAGTCCTATATGCTTTCACTCTCCCTGGAATGTCTCGACACATACCCACCTCAATATGAATGTCATTTCCTCTTCGCTGCAATTGGAAAACTCGTAAGGCGGTCCCTTCGCCCTTCCCATCATATATGTCTGCGTTTTCTTACAGGTTTCAGCGCCTGGATGACCCTCTATACCTTGAACCGGACCATTGCCATCATCCGTGCTTCCAAGCCTGCATAAACAATTGTGCATAAAAACAAAATTACCAGGTTTTTAGCGATCTGATTTGCTATTTAGACTGCAGAACTAGGTCGATAAAACGGTGTTTAAAGTTATTTAGAAATAATTCGCTTTACACTACACATAAAGGAATCATTCAAGAAAGCCTACTAAGTTAGTAGCTGCCAAAAGTGAGTATAATCACTAATGGCTTAAACAACGTGCGCGTGGCGCGTGCCCTGAGCATCTGGTTATTAACCAAAAGGCAACGGTATTGCGTCATTTTCTAATAAAAACGACGAAGTACTAGTCAGCAAGCGAGAAGCTTGAGCGTAGTAGGCCACGCCCCGCGTTTCTGAATCTCTAAGTTACCGTAACTATTTTGACAAATACGGAGCCCTAATGTTGCACACAATCTTACATTTTTAATCACACTTGGTCTTACTGTTTGCTGCGAATGAGTAAAAAAAGAAGGTAGTAATAAATTGGTTGCGGAAACCAGTATAGCTGATTGCCTAGTAATTGCGATAGGATTCGTCATGAAACTCGTCACACAGACAACTGTGAATGTAACAGCGCAAAGATTGAGTAAACACCATATTTTATTAGTGGTTCATTACGCAATCACTGACGTGAGTGAGACTGCGGAGCGCCCCTTCAATATTGAATGATTGCTTTGTCTCTGAGTAATCGTTTAATCTTCTGTATCTATGTAATCGTTTAATTTTCAAGCCGTTTTCCCACCATAATTACAGCTTCATGTGTCTGTCTTATCCTGTTTTTCTTATCGTTTCATGCTCAAGTTGTTTTACCGCCATCATTTGCCATGTATAAATTAGCCCAACTCAAGCCCATAACTGCCTCGTAGCTTGGGCGCAAATGTGAATGTGTGGGTACTGCCGCCCCATGTATGCGTTGTGCGGGTTCATCTACTTGCGCCACAGTCATGAGTAAATGCTTCATAGCTTGCGGGCAAATGTGAATGTGTGCGTACTGCCGCTCGGTGTGTGCGCGGCGAGGGCTTATGTCACACAAAAATGGTCTATGGCCGTCTATGAAAACTTGTATGGCAAGCTATCGCCCCCTATGGCCTTTTATGATTGGCCATAGAAATCCATGAATACAGCTACAGCCAACTATACAAAACTCTATGGCCCAGTGTCTAAAGACTGGGAACCAATATCTTGTTTTTACTCGCCTATAGAAAATTCTATGGACCTAAGACTAAAGACAGAGAAGCAATAAATTTTATGTTTCCGCCTATAGAGAATTTTGTCGCCCCGAGTCTAAAGACTGGGAATTAATAAATATTCTTCACCCCCCCCCCCCCCTATAGAAAATTCTATGGCCCGAGCCTAAAGACTGGGGACCAATAAATTGTCTTTACGCGTCTATAGAAAAATGTATGGCCCCGAGTCTAAAGATTTTTCCTCCATGCTCGCGGCGCGAAGATGTTCCGCCGCGAACATGTTCGGTGGCGGTGAAGGCAACTTGAGGGCTTGGTTTCCGTCACCTAGAGTGATCCTACTACTACGGTATATGTATAGCGGAGGCTATGACGAATTGGGTATGGAGTTGCGGGAGTGACTGCCCATCTACTAAAACTCTCAACACGGGCTTTTTAACTTTCTGACTTGGGCGCAACTTGATGTTTTCAAGCGATTGCATGATATCACCGAAGACAGTCTCACTTTAGTCGTCTGCTGCGATACCAAAGTCACAGTTCGTGGGTCCTTATCACTCCCGGCACTTACTTTTTATAGCAAAAACGCTCCAGGTTAGAAAATTTAAACAATACTAAGTTTCTATAATACCAGTGACAAAACATGACCCAATATATGTTCTCTGCTGTTGCAACGTGTCTTAACAACCAGTAATATTGTTTGTTTGAAAATCCATTGAAACGCTTTTGTAACAATTAAAATTATTACCCCACCAAAACTGAAAATAGATCACACAGTACTGAACACTGCAATCAAGCAATAGCTTGATTACAATGTTTAGCACCAGTGTACTGCATCTTAACACTGCATTGTCAACATGATTCATAAAACTTAATAAAAAATAAATTAATATATTTGAGTTAATTAGCATAATGACCGCATTTTCTTTGCTCAGGGTTTTGAATTAAGAGATAGGGCTATTCCAGAAGACAATTCAAATAATGTTTAACTACGAGTACTATTTGCTTCGCCTCTCCGTGTTTATGCGATAAATCATGGCAGTCACCAGAAAAAGTCGGATTCAAAAATAACACTGCCATATACAGATCTAGTCCGAAGTTAGCGTACGTAGAGAGTAGGGTGGGGATTCGATGTCGCTGCGTTGTTGCAATTGGTGGGTGTGCTCTGATTGTGTTCTGTGTATTTTGTGTGTTCAGTGATGTATGTGTATCTACCTTGTAGCTTTCAAAAGTCGGATGAACTTTAAAAAAAAAAAAATTAGAGTGCGCTGGCTAAAGAGAGCCATAGAAAAACCCATACAGCTTTCTTTAACTGACCATATAAATGGCTAAATACACCAAAGGAAAAGCCGCAGGCAGCTAGAGCGTGCTGGCTATAGACAGCACGCTCTAGCTGCAGGACACTACCAGGACACGTAAGAAGCTATAAATGGCTAAAGAAACCAAAGGAAAAGCTATAGACAGCTATAGCATGTAGGCCTAAAAGAGCCGTAGGGTAAATTATATAGAAGACTTTAGTCAGCCACTAGAAAAGCTGTAGAGCGCTATGGCTGGACAGTGATAGGGACATAGACAAAGCTAAATAGGCCCATAAAGGCGACCATAAAAATGAGAAAGAGCCATAAAAATGCTTTAGCTAATTGGGCCAAATAGCTGAAGCCGGCCGAACAAAGAATTTTTTATAGCCGACCATAGAACATGTTTGTATGGGATCTGCTTGCTAAGACGACGTCCTAGAGGCCGACGTCAAAAGACAACGACTAGGACCACTTCTAGGACGCCCTCTGGGGTGATCTCAAGGGTGACCCCTAGGACGACCTCTAGGATGACCTGAAGGACGCCGTTAGGACAACGTTGAGGACGACGCCCGGGTACGCTCGGCGCCTGCGTATGCGGACGTGCATATGCTTACGTCCTCCATATGCGGGGCACAGCCGCGCGGCGCCTCAGCATACCGGCGGCGCAAACGCGCTCTGCGCATACGCACGGCGAGGCCAGAGAGCGCGCGTATTGCAAAATCCGGTTGAAGGAAGTAAAAAATACTATGGCATTAAAAATTGCAAATGACTACACAAAGTGTGTCGCGATAGGCAGCGTCAGATGTTGCGTTGTTGAAAGATGTGCTTTATGAGGCTTGTTCTTGGTCTATGTGGCTTTAGGATAGTTCCTTTAGCAGCTTCGCTTCTGGCAAAATAGTTGTAGGCGATGTACTTGAATGACTCGGGTAAGGGTGCTTATGCGCTGCCTCCTGTACGTGGTAGCCGGGGTCCTGCGCCAATGACAGTTCTAATGCCACTGTGCTTATGCACTGCTTCCGTCTACTCTGATCACCCCGCCGCGCTGATCAGAGTAGACAAGAGCTTGCTTGTCCCACTCCTAAGACAGAGCGCGAGTCTTGCGTGTTCTGGCCTTATCTGGGGCTGGGGCGAGAGAGCAAGAGATTGATAGCGCGTCTTACCGAAGATGACGCGGTTGTGTGAGGCCCAACAGCAATTGGGAGAGAGCGACAGCGCGGCTTGCGGTGATTGGGCGGCTCGCGTCCCTCGATCAGGCGTTTTTGCGCTCCCCGGAAAGGGACCTTAAAAGCAGCCGCTGTAAAACACCAGAATGAAGGTAGGGCTCTTCGAAGTCATATAAATACAATTTACCATATCGATGGTTAGGTGAGTTAGTTTTAGGGCAGTTTTCTTTCTTTTTTTTTTCTGAATGCGCTTTCAGTGGCAGCTTAGGAAGCGAAGGTCGTTCCTTACGATGTCCACGCTTCTTGCTACTGATTCCTTCTTCGGCCTTCTTATCAGCTAATGCTTCGTTGTCATTGGCTGTAGGACAATAATGGCATGGTCGGAACTCGCCAGGCTTTGCGTTTCTTAAGCTGTCAGTTAAATTGCTACATTGCTCGGGATAAGTGAAGTATGTTAAACAATAAGCAGGGCAACAAAAAAGTGAGGAAGCGCTTGCCTCAACATAAACAGTGAAAGACCATAACAGAGTATAATGAACAAAGTTAATGTATCTAAACTCACAAAATATCGTCTATCACTAACACAAATGAACCCTTCATTTGCTCGTCATATCTCTTTATTTACTTCTTGCAATTGTGCATTAAATTAGGTAGGCTAAATGCCACAATCCTGGAAGATATTTAAAAAAAAAAGAACAGGCGAGCACGTAGCTTATTTTCAACAGCATACTCTGAAAATATGCTGTTAAAAATACATAAAAAAATGTTTAAAAGTATAAACTTGTTTGGATTATTGTTACACAACCTGGGACCACAAAAATGTGCCATGTGTGCGTAACGCGTGCGATATGATATGTTATATGCTCGGCTACAGTGAGCCCTTCTCTGGTTTCTGGATTCGCTGCACAGACGGCACACTTATGTGCTCAGTGAGTTTATCAGTATGACCGTCATATTGTTTACAATAATTCAGGAGGGAAGCGTACAAGCTATATGCATTAAGAAGATTTCATTGGTTTTAATTCTTCCAAGTGTGCGCGTAGATCTCTCAGTTTTTTTTTGTGCTCATAGATTAAGAGGAGACTCTTGTGGTACCTAAAGTAATTGCGAGGGGAGGATGCCTATCTCGTCTGTTGCACTATCTATAGGATGTTGTTCGAAGTCGGCACATTACACGCCCACTGCTCTATCCGCTTGGTCGTTATGGTTCACCCAATGACATCATGAGATCTCGTGGAAAGCTACGCTTCATTCTTCTCGAGTCAGCTGCACATGGCAACTGTCGTCTGCTTTCGCAGGCTCCCGGCCGTCAGTTCCACTGAGTCCAGCTGCTTGCGCTCTATTTCGCCTTCTCCTTGAGATGCCGAGCAGAAGCATCGAGCAGCGGTTCACACGGTTCGGTGCTCGATTCTCGTATAGCCGCTTGGTATATCTCGCTCGTTAAATTAATTACGCCTGATTATGATAACATATGAATTTTTAAGACTGAGTATGCCTTGAATTTGGATGCTTTTACATTGCCAGCTATAGTCTAAGTATTATTTACGTTACCTTAGCCTTCGTGTGTTACACGTTTTCGTCACACTGGAGCGCATTTCTTTTGTCATAAAATCGAGCCCATAAACTCATTCTGGGTTAAGATACAAAGCATTTGCTCAGAATTGTCTGGGTCACCAAAAGAGAAGAAGCGCGGTTTCTGCACTTTCTATTCCTCGTTTTGTGCGCTATTTTCTCACCACTTGTTCCTGCTCTTCCCTTCTTGCTTTATCCGCTCCTCTCCGCTCTGCGGCTTTTCTCACACAACCTGCTTTTGCTCCTCCCGTTCCTGCGTGCTGGTTCGTAGCTTAATCAGCAGCTTAGTCACCGGTTGCTGTTTTAGCGGTCGCGGACTGACCGACCTACACATTTCGTTCTTACGTGGCTACTGAGGTTGGTTCGTTCTATAAAGTAACTGCCTTTATAAGTGTTTAAAACATCTACCCTACTGCTATATGGTTGAACTGATTACTACGACTGAGTATGCACGCTTTCTTATGCAGATATTTAAATAAAGTTCAGGGCAACTTTGTAATTTTCTCCAAATAATTGAAACAAAAACGCAAACGGAATAAATTCCCCGTCCAGGTTTTCAACTTTAAAGGTCAATTAAAAACAAAGACGAAACACAAGAATCATATTTAACTGTGACATTTTGGTAAATGGCACAAAGAGCTACATTTGAAGTCGCACTGTAAACACATTCTAGAAAAAACAAAGCGATATGCTACTTGCACATGTCCAATTTCGTGGGCGATTGTTTCGAATGAAGCGTAAAGAAGAGGAATTTGCACAGCCATTCCCACATTTAGGCCTTCACAGCAGATCCTTCCGGAATAGGCGCAACCTGGAAGTAGAAACAGTCTTTTATCTTCATTTTTTTATATTTTAATATATCTGCTAAGGGGTATTTCGTGTTTCAGAAAAAAGCTGGCAGGGGAAGAACACTAAATATTCCAAGTCAAGAGGACAAACCATCCTGTTTAATTGGATGAACTATCGGGATCAGTATGAGCCTGAATAGCCCGCCACGAAGTTTGTTCCTGTCGAACCCTATAACAAACTTCAAACAGGAATAGATGTTTTCACTTTTTAAAAATTGTCCTCTTTGAATAAAGCATTTCTATAGTCTACTGCAAGTAATAAATAAACAAAACAAAACATAAATTGCCGAACTTCGTTGGCGAACTTGGAAAGTACTCAAGAAAATGTGGTATCCAGGCCAGTTTCCGAAGACGCGCTGTTTTAGGCTAGGACGGAAGGCAATGGGTGGAGTGACTTGCACGCAACGCTTCACAAGTAACACGCTACTTGTGCTTGCTTACATATTTTAAAAAAAGTGTTATGTTTCATCAAAGAAACGAGTAACGCTTGTTTTTTTAAAGACATAAGCAATATGGGCAATGACTTCAGAAAATCTCGTGCTGGGTTTCTATAGCCTAAGATGAAAAATTGTAGAAAACTTGGTGTGGTCAGACTTATTGCAGGAAATCTCTAACCCAGCTCCCTGGTCGATAATTTCCCATGGCAAAAAAAAAGAAGAAGCGTGGTTCGATCCGTCAAATTTTTATTCTACCTTGTGATTTCTTTTTAGCTTTCTTACATGTCTCTATTGGCAAAGTGTGCTAAGCGGGCTGTACTTTTTAACGTTAGGATTATTACCTTCTTCTAAACAAGGTCCTTTCGAATTTCACCTTACCTACTGCCTGTAGATAAGGTAGTTTATTGTTACACGCCGGTAGGCCTCAGCCCAAAGAGGTCGAATGAACCGAGACACAATTAGACGTTTTGAAAGTGTTTCTTAATTCATGCTTACACGTCCTCGCGTAGCCTCTATTATCTAATAAAGTTTGTGACAATTTTCACTAACGCCCATTCCGTCGACCTGTGCACCCCTCAAAAAAATTTAAAGCTTGCGAAGTTTGGGTACAACGTAATCTCAGCTAGAAAAACAATTTCCAAGAAGGAACTAGAAGTGCAGGCGAGATTGTGAGTCTTGAAAATGGCAAGATACTCTAAAACTAGGATCGAAAAAAGAAAACGGCAAAAAAGACAAAGGACAAAGATAATATCTATGATGTTTCTCTCATTTTAATGGATATGATTTTTTAATGTTCTCCTTTTTAAGCTATTTTGAATTTAAAAAGAAAGCTTGAACTGACAAGTGATGCGTAGTCTGGACACGAAAAGACATAAGAAAGGGCAAGCGCGGTGCAAAGTAATCGCGCTATTGGCTGGCTGGCAGGCGCACACTCCCCTTATCGCCGTGATAGATGAAATGAAAAAAAAAAAAGAGTTAAAGGTGTCTTCCAACTTAAAGTTATCTCAAGGTCAAGGAATGCGCTGTTTTGACATCTGTGACTGTGATTCGGGCAAAATGTTTAAACCTAACTTTCTAGAATTATTTTATTTTTCATAATAGTGCCTTTTAATGCAATATTGCCCTTCCCGTGCATAAAAATATCAAGATAAAATGTCTAGGAATAAAGTAAGTTTGTTTGCAGCAATGAAAAATATCATTATAAATGTTTCCAATATTCTCTTTACGTGATTCTTTCAACCAAAATATCAATTGATTTCGAATACAGTGTCTCCGTGAATACGTTTTCAAAAACGAGAAAGCGTTAACGACTCATTCTTTATGTATTCAAGGACTCTCATCTAAACAGCTAAGATGGTGTAAAGTGCTCAGTTGGGATACCAATGTAATTGGTAAATTGTGATGCCCGCCAGTACTCTTTGGAAGCAAAACGCAAAATAGTGCCAAAACCATGTTCACGCTGACTGTGTCGCGGAGTGTATGCTTAGTTACTTTTAGGCGGGTACCGTGTAGTGGTATTTAAGTACTACTTTATTCTAACTGACATTTTTTGCTACGTTCCTGTCTCTGGGATCTGCGACAAATCAAGACAAAAAAAAAGAAAAAAAAAGCTTTAAGACATCGTATAGGCGTGGAAAAAAGAAACATGTTTTGTGTTACAGCGACGTTTATCCTGAAGCAGCCAATAGCCGTTGAGACTTTCTGTTTCAGAAGATCCAAGTGAAAATCGAAACCTTTCGCACGATACACTTCCGGCAATACATTTAGCTTTAAATGCCATATAACGAACCAGGAAGCAAAATGCGTGGATATATAGGACAAGTGGGCGCGTTTCTTAAGGTGTCTATTCACGATCTATAGGGGGCGTGCTATTGCCTATCAAAATGGCAGTCATCTCGATGGTCGTCGTAGAACCGCAAGACAAGACAGGGTCTGCGACAGTAAGTAATTCTAGTTTTGTAACCTCCGAGCGCTATAAGGGTCTTACTTGGTACTTCCATGCCAGAAAGGTGTGAGCGAGCATCTTCATTCTGAAGCTTATCATCAAGCAGCCAGGGAGAGCAAATCTTACACAGCGGTACCACCATCGCTCAAAGTTACGAATGCGGTGCGCAAGTTCGTCTGCTCCTAGCGCAATGTGTAGTTGCGTTTACCCCACAAACGCTCTCACGTCCTTTTCTCACCCCATCCCCCATCCCTGCCCTCAATCAACGATGATGCCCCCTTGGCTCCCTCGTCATTGCGAGTTCCCTGCACCATCGTCATGGTGTCCTTTATCGTGCTCCTCTTTGCATTCCGATGCGCCAAAGACGCATTTGGAACACTTTCTCGCCGTATAGTCACTGATATTCTAAGAAACACCAGGCGTTCCGAGTGCCCACAATATTATTATTTATTTGTGGCTATTCAGATGCGGCGTCGGTCAATAGGAACACCGAAGACCAGTACACGCCAGCAAAGATCTTCATTATCATAGTCAGTGCCTTGTGTTTCTTAATGGGTAACTGCAAAGAAGAAAAGTGTTTTTTTTTTAAACGACCTAATTGAGACAAGCATGTCACAAAACAAATCTTCCGCGAAAAAAAACAATTTTTTTAGCAATATTTACGCCACAGGACGTAATTTAGTCGGAGTCACAACCTCTCCCCATTTAAAGCTCCCGTTTTTTTCGACGCGCGCGGAGTGGCTGGAATTCGTCACTCCGTGACGTATAGCAGCCAACACGTGACGTAGCATAACAACTTTGTGGCGCGCGATTTAAAGCGGACAAAATAGCTGCAAACTAAAATCAGTCCCGCGCAAAAAATATTGCTGTAAAAAACTTTGTTTTTGTTTGAAAAATTGTTTTGTGACATGCTTGTTCATATTAGGCTGTTTAAAAATAAACTGTTTTTTCTTTGCAGTATCCTTTAAGCTCTTAATGGCTATAAATGATATAAACGATGATATAAACGATGACCTTGCACTTTTTAAACGAGTGTCTGAACTATAATATTCATTTTTATATTTTTTTATTAAATTCACCAACGAAGTTTACCAAACACGTGAAGTTTTGTTTTTCTAAGCTAAAATAAAGCTATTTGGTTGTTTTATTTTCAATTTAAATTAATTAAAGATGAGGGTAAAATATCCAGCTGTGTCATTGACGCCGTTTTCTAGAATAACTAAGGTGTTCAAGATTTGTTTGAACATGTTACCTGTCAAGCTGAATACTAATTTGTCTTACCAAGAATATTTGCAGATATTTTCTTAGTAGTCTTGTTCCGTTTCCCTAGGCGACGCCTGAAATGAAAGCACACGAACACTTGGTGTCAAATAAATGTGTTGACGGTTGTATTCTATGTCCCAGTCTATTTGATATCATACCACGAGCACATCCAGGTACGTACACGGAAAAATGTGAAAAGTTGGCGACGCATAAAAGCCTCGTGTCGGCTTGATACCGCAATTACGACGGTCTTGACCATCTCGCGCAGTACCCTAACTTCCTCCTTCCTGAAACCCGCTTCGCTAACACTTCTTTACAATCCGGGAGCTGGGTGAATCGTGCCTTATTAATTTGATGAAGATGTGTTCCAATCATCAACAACTAGCCTTACAACCACTATAGAAACTTCGCATAACCCTTGCATTCAATTTGCCATTCTCATCATTCCTTCCTTAGAGCGGTTACCAATTTATTGTGTCATCTGAGAAGTTAAGGGGCGAAAAGTCCATCGGTTAAGATTTAACAGATTAACATCTTGCGCATGAAAGTATTCCCATCACATAAACTGTTCTCTTACAGAAGTCAAATCACTAACCGAACACTATATGTCCTGTTTTTACCAAAAATGAAGAGGAGGCAAAAGTACCCCATTAATGGTAAGGTACTTCTACTAGTATTAGACCTTGCACTCAACATTGCTAAAACACTTAAAAATGTTATCTTCATTTACATAAATAAAATCAAGTAAATACCGATATTAACAATACCGTTATTGCTATTGGACTATGCGGTATGAAACTGCTAGCGGGTAAGTTTTAAACGCTTCAAAATCTAGTCTAGGTTCCACGGTGAAAATGCCCTCCTCTGTAAGAAAGACAAAGCTAATTACTCTTTAGCCGCACAACGCCCTCCCCCCCCTCTCCCCTAAAAAGGCTTTTAGAGCGCAGTTCTTAGGCGCCCGTTTCCGGCCTCAGCGGCATCCCCGTCAGAGTCGCCGTCGGTGTCGGCGTCGGCGTAACCTCGCGTTGGATAATGGGGCGTTTCCCATAATGACGTCACAAGGGTCATTCGTGACGTCACCGCGCGTTGCATTATGGGTAAATTACCCCGATAAATTTAGCGGAAAACTTTAACCGCTAAATTTAGCGGGAAATATTTTCCGCTAAACTTATGGAAAAAAACTTCCTCTTTAAACTTTGCAGAAAAAAATTCCCCGCTAAATTTAGCGGAAAAAATTCCGCGCTAAATTTAGAGAAAAAATTTCCCCGCTAAATTTTGCGAAAATTTTTAGCGCTTAATTTTGCTGAAAAATTTCTACCGCTAAATTTAGCAGAAATATTCCCGCTAAATTTAGCGGAAAATATTCGCCGCTAAATTTAGCGAAAACATTTCCCCACTAAATTGAGCGAGGAATTTTCCCCGCTAAATTTTGCGCGGAAAATTCCCCACTAAATGTAGCAGAAACGATTCCCTGCTAAATTTAGTAGAAAAAGTTTCCTGCTAAATTTAGCGGAAATATTTCCCCACTGAACTCAGCGGGAAAATTTCCCCGCTAAATTTAGCTGTGAATTTATCGAAAATTTCCCGCTAAATGGGAGACGACCAGGAGAGGAGGGGGGCAGACCCTTCTCTCCGTACCTTCCCCTCCTCCTCCTCAAGAGCTGCGCTCTAATTCGGCGTTACAGGGGATTGTAAACGTTTTTCATTTTTTATACTAAAATTCGATGGGCCCCATAACACATTTTGATTCGTCTCCAAAGACCAATCATTCAAACTAGCCACTTTACCCAGTAGTTTGGTTTCGCACACCTTGTTGTGAGGATTGCACCACCATGAACGATGAATGTATCCCAATTCTGCCTCAGTGTTGAGATCTTCAAGAGGCAAAATGCATGTTTGCGTGCTTACCCAACCAGAAGGAAGTAGAAATCAGCACGTCTTGCAAAGGAAGCATTTTTCGTGAATTCACCGAAGGCCTTCAAGGATTCATGTCCCTCGACCAATCCGTCTTCCTCCACAATAAAAGGCTCATCTTGTCTTGTCTGTTGAAATTTGGAGTTAAAAAATAATAGTGTCGTGGTATAATGTTTGGCAACCGGGAAAGAAAGGCCTCTGAATGTATCCGTGTCTGCTAATCTTCGAAGCCTTGCGCCTTCTCGATGCGAATATGCCACAACCGTAACTTGCTCATTCGAGTAGTCACACCAGGCAACGTTCTTCATTTCCAGAAACTATCAACATGTAAAGGCACACCCTGATTGTGATTATGCTAATATGTTATTGGAGACTTGAATAAAAAAAGACTAATGCATTCAGTGTAAAAGTTAAATATCAAATTGCCACGTTTGAACGCTAGATACCTACTTGGAACCGGTAAATTCCTACAAGCTGGAGATCTATACGGGGTGTCTTGTTCTTTTTGAATATTGCATTGACCTGCAGGCACACAAGAAATCACTGAAAGACAGCCTTGGTAAAAGCGTTGACTCCAAAGATAAACTTTTAGCTATGTTCAATCTGTGGAATACAGCTTTATCCACAAACAAAAATATCCCAATTTTGAATTGAATAAATAAGGTCTACGCACAATGTTCATTAGCCTTATTATGTAGAGTACTTGCAGTCTTTTTATGCCCCTCAGGTATTCATTTATTGAGCTGTCAAACATGATGTACATTTCAGGTCGCCACACGTCAGGAAGCTTTGCATCATCTAGAAAGTTGCAGACAAAAGGAGGCTCTCAGTAATCAGCTATTTTCACAGAATCGGGTGTCCGCGAGTGAATTAGCACGAAGAAGCGATCACGTGGCTTTCCAGTTTTATTTATTTTTTTGTTAGGAAATAATGGAGCTTATTCAAGCTACTTGTGTGTTGGAAAATAAAAATTGTGTGCACCAACGTAGGCGGCTAAAATTTATACTCAGCAATACGGTCTAAAAAAAAATGGGACTACATGCCTATGTCGGGTTTATGTTAAAACTATCGTGCAGTGCTCATAAAAGTTTTAGTATTTTCTTGGAAACTACGCAGGCTCTTGTTTTGATCATTGAGGCCCATTCACACACATGCGATTGACAATGACGGAGTGACACAAGAATCTTTTTTAAACCTCTTCTGACGGCTTTCGACCGGCTGCGCAGCAATTCAGCCGGTCGTAAGCCATCACACGATGCTTAAGATCGTGTATTGTCTCACTCAGCCGTAGTGAAGCACAGGTCTGTGAACGGGCCTTTACTTGCTTTGTGTGACAAAAATAGCGTACTTACCACGTGGCTGTGGGCTTTCATCCAAAGGTTCTTCTATTGGAACTAGAAAAATAGCGCAACTATGTTTAAAATTATTGAAACGGCTAGTAATAATACACCGCAGGCATGCTGGTTTAGCAACAACCTAAAATGTGCCTACTGTTTGACTTTAAATCGTTTTCTTGCTTGTAAATTTTATCGTTTTCTCTGTTTCATTTTATTTAGGTGCTTGAAAAACTTAGAGGATACGCCATTCGTGGTTTCTATTTTGTAGGATATGGAATGTGTATGGTGACTGAAAAAAAAACGTTTAAAAAATACGAGCACATTTGAACTATTTTTTTTTTCCGAACGCGTAATCTACACTGTCATCAAGTCCCGTGTATTCGGTGAATATTCAGGGTTGAATTACGCGTTATTTACACATTGTGGAATAGACAATCTATATAAAAGCTTTCAGCCTTTCCACTCTCCTAAAGAAGGAAAACCATCGAAGCTAAACTATGGTGAAAATTAAGTGTTTATAAATGTAAGGATGAAGGTGTGATTAGATAATTGGTTATGTGAGAACCGTACTGGTCCCCGGTTGTCTTTGTTATACCACGTCAACCGCCAAAAGCTCATAAACGGGAGTCGAGGCGCCACTAGTCGTTCCTCCACCACGTTCAACCTCTGTAGGTGCTCCGGTATGGGTGGGTACTTGTAGCCGTTCACGGTCGCGAGCCGGGGCACCGCGCCCGGCGTGCCGAACGCGCCTCGGCGTGTTCTGCACGCCGGTTCTCAGTATACGTCCGCCGACTCGATAGACTGCCGCAACGCGCACGCGCCCGCTTCCCGCTTCTTCCCGCCCGACACACCGCCGATCGTGGATAAGTCTACGGCGAATCAGAGTCGGTCGCACACGGCGCACTTGACGCCAAACGTGTAATCCACGAACTCCATCCGGAACCTCGCCGTCGCACCCGGGAACTGTTCAGCCGGCGCGGAGTGCTGTCGTCGCCGGGCCTCGCGCTTGCGCTTGGTTTCTGTAGCTCGCCGGCGCCGTTTACATCGCTGGTTCTGTTCTCGGCGGCGGCTTTCCTGGCGAGTGATGTGCTCTTCTTTCTCAAGGGTGTCTGAAGCGTTGGACGCAGTAGACGTCGAGGCGACAGCGGCTTCACGTCGGTTGCGGACCCATTCGCGCCGCTGCGTACGTCGCCGCTCTTACCGCACCCAGTCTTCTTTCCCCGAAAGGGCACGCGCACGGCCCATCCTGAGTCTAAGCCGAAGCTGATAAGAGCGTAGGAAACAGCGCGCAAAACAGACGAGGACGAAGAAACACACGCGACGAGCGCTGCGCTCGTCACGTGTGTTTCTTCTTCGTCCTCGTCTGTTTTTCGCACTGTTTCCTATGATGAATTCCCACCAACGCGCCCAGCTATCCATTCTTCTATGATAACTGGAAAGGTTGCCGCCATCTACGAGCGACGGAGCGACGGCGGCCATCAGACTGGTTGTGTGCTTGCCACCGTCGCTTATAGATGGCGGTAGCTGTCCACAGGTTTGTGGAGGTTTCTGTCGACAAGGACGTTTGGTACCGGACACGATCCCGGGGAACCTAGCCCTTAACAGCTCCACTCTAAAAATTATGCGAGGTTCTAGGAAATGTGTTTTGGTTTCGCTTTACACGCCCCACCGTGTGGCCGACTCCGGAAACACCCATCGTCACCCACGCGGCGACCGCCATGTTGATTTTAATTTGGTCCATGAGGGCGACAAGACACTATGAAACCGGAAGTCTTAGATGAGACGAGAGCACGGCTTAACACTCTTCAGGTGAGGACACTGCCCGAGTCGGAGAGAACCAAATAAATAAATAATAAATAAATCATGAATAAAATAATAAATAAATGCTTATTTCTCCATCATATCCATGATGGAAGGAGACCGAGGAAAAAAGCTGCATAAATGCAGCTTGACGAGTCTTCGGCCCCCTCCCTACAATCGGCAGTGTGAGCAGCAGTGCACTCTTAGAAAAAAGGGTATGGATAGTCCTCCCTTAGGGGAGGAACGGTCTTGTAACCTATGTTCCTTTAGAAAGGGAGAAACGTTCGTCCCTGAAGCAGGGGAGCAAAGTTCCTCCGTCGCTTGCATCTCAATATGGCGGCCCCGAATCGAGCAAATCGAGCCCAATAAGGCTTGACGAGGACGCTACGTCTCTTGTACGGGACGAGAGGAGCAGCAAATAAAGGCATAACACGAGCTTTCCGCGAACTGTGTTTATTTCCGAAGCCAGATTCCCGCCACAGGCGTTTCGAAAGCAGTTACTCAGTCTTCTCGTCGACAGCACTGCGATGTTAAACGGAGACAACCGATACCCAGTTACTTCGCGCACTTTGCGTCTTACCTTAGGTGTTCCTCGAGTCATAATTCCTTCGTCAATAGCACATCACGGAGAAGGGCAAACTCAATCCGCGAACCAAAAGCTGCTCTCGAAAGAACAAACTCGAAGCCGCTGTTTATCGCGTAGCGTGAAAGGTTGAATCGCTAGCCACCAGATGGCGGGGTTAAGCAGAGTAATTGCAAGTAGCTAGGCTAGGTGGCGCTAGGTACCGCCCTATTCATGTTCTACAAAAAATAATTTGCTCTTCCACTACTGCGCTTCAGAGCCGCTCTCCGGCGCTTGGGGATCCTTTACTATACACACATTACGCTTATTACAAGCATCAGGTGAACATACATTGAGCACATACACGGCACACACAAATATCAATACAACGGAGCACCACACTAACCCGAACACTACACCCGTGCTCTGCGTTTCCGTCTTTTATACTGGTCGTTTTGAACGTTCAGAACTTTTCGGTGACTCCCTAAGCAATAAAATATATTCCCAGCATGTTGATTTTTTTCCAGCAATGCCATACCCCTGAGAGTACTTTAAATGGCTCAGGGGATGAATCTCATATTAAAAAGTAAACGCTCGATCATGCCGTCATTATTTCAAAGCCAATAAATCAAGCCGCTCCAATGCGGTTCGAAGCCATGAGTTTGTTTCCCCACACGGCACGTCGTAGCCTGTATTTCTATTGGTTTTTCTATTTGTGCTGTTCACGCAAAGCCGCATTTTCCGTCTTAAATTAATTTCTGTAGAGCGGATATTCACTCAGTGATGCTTCACGGGCTGAGAAATCGCTTTTCGATCAATTTGAATGCAGTCAAAGCTGCGACTAGCGGCAGGTACGGAGCTACGCCGTGGCGAGCTTGAAAACTTCTAGCGCTCATCCCAGCGCGCCACTTGGAGGGCAGTTTCTCCAGGAACCGTAGTATATTTAAACAGCAAAATAAAGGGTAGCTTCTTTTTCCGATTTTACCTACTATTGTTTTTTAATGCTAAAATTAAACACAGTAAATATACGTACTTTCCGTCACGATATCGTACTGTTGTCCTTTTCCCAGAGCGCAATCGCTGTCGGGGACGAGACAACCGACAGTCACATTGGCCACTGCACGATAGGAGCTTACCGTTCACACCAGCGTTCCAACATGACTATCCGCACGTTGATCGATTGCACGTAATTCCTCAAGTGGTATTAAACTTTTTAATGTAAAGCGGAATGTCAACCTGCGACGCCCCGCCCCCTTCGATCACGGCCCGACCAGCGGCATCAATGCCCGACAGTTTACGATCTCATCTTCTTGTTACACCACTGATACGCGAACACACGGTCACATCGGCGATAATTCCAGTTCTTTGTTCACAACCCTCAACACTGCCATCACGATGTTGTAGCTATGTTGTTGACACGCACAAATACAGAACCACGTTGAATGCCGTTTGCACTCGGCATCGGAAAACAGAACCGAACTCAGCACGGAAGGCACCCAGGCAGCCGGCAGCAAAACCTGCCTGTCTTGGACGCAGTTCCTGCGGTTTCCGTAACGTCGAAAACGTCGACACTGTTCCGCGTGGTTTCGCTACCGTAGTTACGTGCCGCGCGAGTCCCGCAATCCGGAGACAGCCATCCCCCAGTGTACGTGGCGCTGCTGGCACTGCTCCGGAACTTCGCTGTTTCTAGCGGCTTCGTTTGCTCGTTTGATAAAATTAGTGATAAAAACGTCAATGCAACCGAAATGTTCTGCACGTTTAGACTAGAAGAGGGAATTACAGGCGGCCTTCGCTGCCGCTGAAGCTCAGTCAGCTCAACAGCTATTTATTAAACAACGTGCGCGGCCTGCTCGAAAAACGAAACCGAAAGAAGACGAGTCGGGAGGGCAGAGCTTTCTCCCGTCTGCCTGGAGAAGGAGAAAAGCGTTTCGTTCCTCCCCTTTTCTCGTGTCCGCTTGGGGGCGCGTCAGTAGAAGGGAGGAAGACGCGCCGTTGCTACTTTTTTTCTCCATTTTTTTTTTAGTGTGTGGCAGCTCACAAAAAACACAAAGTAAAAAAAAAAAAAAATACAAGCTCAGTTCCAAAAATAGCGAAATGTATCAATGGCATGCGGAATATAGCAGGTTCAACTCTAACAATTCCCCTGAACCACGCAGACGCGCACAGGCCTCAGCTGCCAGCGTCGCCGCCGGTCCCTTCATCTTTATGACTGCGACAAAATTACAGTCAGCAGGCCGGGCGGGCCGAGACGAATCCATGGAAGTGGCTGGGACTATCGAAAGTGCTCGTTATTAACTTATTTTAAGATATCCACCCGCTTTAAAACGAGCTTTTAATTCTTAGCCAACGATACATGTGTGGCAAGTGTGGCATGGGATTCGTTGCTTAAATTAGGGCAGCATCTGCACGGGACTAGATCTGGCGGTTTGCAGCCGCTATTCGGCCGAACAGAGCGGCACCGGGACTCTTTTTCTGCCAAGAAAGCTGACAGAGTGCCCGCCCTTCAAGCTGCAAAGCATCGAAGCTTGGAGCGAGGAGGCATCGGGCCACTTCCAACAACAATGATTTACACACCCTTTCTTTCTTCCCACCTCCCTGTGTGTGTGGGGGGGGAGGGGAGGGGGGGGGGGTTCAGGGAAGAGGGAGGGGCGTATTTGCCTGTGAGTGTGTTTTGTGCGAGAATCTTTTAGAGCGCAGCACTTAGGCGCCCGTTTCCGGGTTGAGTGGCGTCCTCGGCGTCGGCGTAACCGCGCGTTGCGTTATGGGACGTTTCCCATAATGACGACAAAAGGGTTACCCTCCTGGGGGTTATGAAGGTTACCCTCACGAGGGTCACGGGGGTTACCCTCACGATGTTTAGGGGATTACCTCATGAGGGTCATGAGGGTTACCCTCACAACTGTCACAAGGTAATGTCACGACGTTACAATCGTGATGTCACACGTGACGTCACGTCTGGCGCCAATATAGAAATACGTGTCACGTGACGTGACACGCATTTAACATTGCCAATATTCCCGCTAAGTTTAGCGGGGAAATTTTTCCACTTAATTTGGCCGAAAAATATTTACGCTAAATTTACCCTCGCCACGTCATATGTGAGGACACGTGTGACGTTGCACGCGACGTCACGTATGACGTCACAAGGGTCAATTTTTTTCTCTAAATTTAGCGGAAACATTTCCCCGCTAAAGTTAGCAAGAAAGGAAGAAGGGCACACCCTCCCCTCCGTACCTTCCTTCCCTGCTCCTTCGACGTTACAAAAATTTGTAAACATTTGTCATTTCTTTTTTGTTTTGTTTTTAGTAGTGCGGTACCAGTACCGCAGCCTCAGGTATGGGCGAATGACCTCGCTGTTGTTCCGCCGCCCTGCTGGGTTGAATAACGATTATTGTTAATAATACTATTATTATCATTAGAGCCTCACTTATGCGCGTTATTTTAGGTTTGACAGCTTCAATGTTCCCTCAAACGATGCCTTAAAAAAGTAATCTCGTATGAAATCAGTAAACAATTTTGCAGCAAATGTGTCGCGGTTGCAGTAAATGTGACTGACATGTCCGGCTACATTGTGTGTCCTCACGCGAGCGTCCCGTGCATGAACATTGCCTCCCGCGGAGGCATCGCGCTCGGGCGGCGGGGTTGTAGGGGGACGGGGATGTTACTCCTGGCGTATCCTCTCCCACCGCATTGTGGTTTAGTCTGCGGAATTTGGTACAACGTCGCTCGGGCGGCTGACGGGGGATTAACGAACCTGCAGCGTTTGCCTGAATGGTCTTATTCAGGCAAAGCTTATTCAGGCCATTCATACAGCCGTGGCTACGGCGGTGTCACCTTGCGTTTATCGCCAACCTGACGAGCGAGCTAACTGAGCCCTCCCTGCAAATGGACGGCGAACGCCATGTGACTGCGACTGGGTTGTAAGGCGATAGGCTGCCCTCCAAAGAGAAAGGAGACGGGGGCCTTTAAAAAGCCCGCGACATGGCGGGACGGGGGTTTTGGACCGATTGGGATTCGATGTGAAAGATGGCAGTAAAGATGCTAGTTCCCGTGTTTTGTACATAAACATTGTACTTAGCTGTTCAACTGTAAATAAACAGTTCTTACTGGATTCGACCGAACCTCCACTGCCGCCGACACACCTTAACGATCGTCGTCTGCTGATCATTTCTATCCCAACATCAAGCGAGTAACCAACGAACCTTTAGTGTCACCTGTTATTTACAATGAATATTTTGGGACGATTCTATTTCTACGAGATAGCGCGTCATGCACGGACCATTACGGTTTCTGTCAGAGCTGTCTAAAGTAATTTTTGAGAAACACACTTACGATCAAAGTTAATCGTTTCCTCAAGCTTGGGAAGGGGAAATATGTTGTGGGGAATTCTTCCGGATCTGTCATTTATTGGCAAGGGCTTAATTCCGTGCGTAAAATTAAGGTAACCTTCCTGTAAAAAATAAAGAAATAGTCATTTAAAGTATCGCCCGCTATATGCAGCGTTCGGTTCAGACAGGTATTAGTTTTCAGTTTTACAGCTATTAACAGTTTAGAATTGTTTATCGGAAGGAGTACCCTAATTAATGTTATCTTAGTGAAGTAATCTGCGTAATTGGTGATTAATGTTTTTCCAAATAAAGTAATTTGTTATTTTCGTTTGTATTTTGTTTTTGTTTTCGTAATTTGTTTGTAATTTGTTATTTTCGTTTGTTATTTGTTTTTGTTATTTTTTTATTTACATTAGTGAATGAATGTTGGTATTTTGTAGTTAGCAAGGTAATTTACAGAACAGAAATCTGTGCAGTACAATTTATGATCAGCGGATACTAACATTATTTTTTTAGAGGCGTGAAATTTTATCATTAAGGGACAGAAGAAATCAGGCGATGATATTGGGCTAATGTTTAGCTTTCAAAAATAGCCTTAACTCTTTATATGAAGTTTGCTGAACTTGTGGCTTTGTCTTAATTGTTTTTAGGAAGACATAAAATCATAATTCATACCATTTCAATTCCCGTGGGTGTTTTAGTAACTGTTAAAGAAGCGGCGTGTTCCGAATTTTCATAAACGATATTACGTAGGTATGTGGTATCCATCTAAAGAAACAACATACTGTTAGCAAAAAAAATTAATTGAACTGGGCTGTGATGGAAAAAAGACTTTAAAAAAATGTCTACAGAATGCATATTTTTTAGCCCCTCCCATTATTTCTACCCACATCTTTAATAACAAATTTATTAGTAACAATAATATGATGTTATGAATCACTTAAACGGTGTGCTGAGTTTTATATTACAGTATTTTTTAAACCTAAAATTTTAGAATTTCTTACTTTGTTGCTGTAATTGTTTTCTACATTTAATGTTTTGCAATCTTATGCGGCATAACGATTATGCACCTTTGCAAATTAAACAAGGGAACAGATAGTAAGGCTATGTCTTTGACTAGTTCATTTACTAACGTGGTTTGAAGTAAATTCAACCATATTACTTCTGACATTTAATCTGATACGTCGGTGCGTTTGGCGTGTGCTGATTTTTTGCATAATGCAATTGAAACTTTTTAATGCGCACTTAACTGTAACGTTTCCATGAATAGCTGTAGGGTCTACAAACTGATTCCAAACTCCAACTGAGTAGCATTTAAAAGGGAAAAAACCTCGAACCAAACGTCACAATGAGTCGCAATGTATGTTCTAAAGAATAAAAGCGTTCTCTTAAAAAACAAAATGCAAATAAAAATGTTATAAATATTTCCAAAATCTTTAAAAAACAGTTGTTAGGCACATCATATACAAGACATCATTTATATTATACTTGGCAGGAACCAAAATGTACTAAGAGTTTGAGCAAAATAATGGTGACTCAGTCTGAAGAGGGCATCTAGAATTGTTTTCTAAACATGGTTCCAGTGAGGTTCCCGTTGCTTCAATTATAATAAAATTATAGACGGGAACATTTTTTTTCTCGGCTGAATTTCCATCTTTATGTCGCGTCTTTTAGACACTCTAAAATCAAACTAGCCTTTAAATGGCGAGAAATGTCTTACCAACTCGTGTGTCACTTCCCCATTCAAAGTGTCAGTGAAAAACAAAGTATCTCCCAAGATGCTGGATTCCTTTAAGTTTAGGGTGAAATCTTCCGTCACTCGAACGGCGCCTGGGGAACTGTCGCTTCTGCTTTCGATAAGAACTGGGTAGACAATATCTGAAACAACTTATTTCGTGTTAACAGGCTGCTGCCAATAGTTGTACCTGAGACAAGCAGTTGGGTCTCCGTTCTCCAAGATAAGATAACCGAGTCGGTCCATTCTGCACTAAGACACACTATTCTGCGCGGCACCTACAGAAAACAAAAAAACTTACGTCGGAATATCGCAGAAAAACTGCAGAAGTCAGCAATATTTTATTTACACCGTAAGATAAAATTTGGATGGAGGTAGACTTGTTCTAGCCTCCGCCCATAACGATAGGCGCTTAGCTAGATAAGCAACCGTTAATCAACTCACATCGGTTGGAGAGATGATTGCATGACGTGTAAAATGTTTGTTCTGACATTGGTGCTTCGTGCCGTAATAGTGTTTTTATCTACAATAATTTTATGTTTTAGAGCAAATAATATGGATAGACTATTACTGTTGCAAAAACAAACAAAAAAAGATCCCAAGATTGTTTTTTCCGCTTTGGTTTGAAACGAAAACAAACATGACTGACGGCATTTGCGGCGTGCTCAAAGAGCGTAGCTCGTTTAACTCATCTACTTTTATGAGCGCAAGTCGTTCAGCGTTCACTAAGGTGCTTAGAGGAATATATACTTAACCGACCTAGTTTGCAGCAAACAACTTCGCAAGCGTGTGCCTTCGGAAGAGCTCAGCGAGTGTTTATTTTCGTAACGGGACTGGTCTATGCCAGGCGTCGCTCCTGGATTATCTTGCTTGGTATGGCTTGATTTCTTTGTGTGCGCGCGTTCATCCTGAATAGAGATGGTTACCGTAAAAACGGCTCCACGGCTCTGTGAATTGCGGAATCGCGCGTTCGGCTTGCCCATGTATGTTCCTGTCATTTCGCTTTGAAAAGCAAGTACCTCTCAAGTTTTGCAGCGCACCTGACCTTCCAAAGCAAATATTTTGAGGTAGGGTATGAATTGTGCGTCATGACGCTCACCCACCTTGCTAACAGACGCTATGAGAAATATAAATAGCAGAAAACCTAAAAGGAGCTTTCGGTCGCTTTTTACCTAGAATTGACAGACGTTGACGGAGGATTGCATTGGAACGTGGGTCGTGCATGACGCAACAATAGATATTCGTGTCTTGCGAGCGTGGCGGACGGTTTTAGACGGGATTGAAACAGCAGAAGGACGCAGGCGATGGCGGACGCCGAAGCGCCGCTTTCGTGGCCGCGTCTTATGGACGTTGCAGACGACGATAAACGACGGTGTTGACTGGTGCAATAACAGACGACGCTGGAGGCTGCTCCACGTCTGCTCGCACGACTAGCAAGCGGTGACATACGCCAGACTATGCGCACCGGACGTCGCAACAAGGAGACAGTAGGCTTGCGAGCGTGTTTGGCCGAGCAGTCAAGCCAATCTAGTAATAATGGGGGGGAGGGGGGGGCACTGATCTTTGTAGTAATAGAAACAAAAACGTTCAAACTGGAGACCGATCAGAAGCCACTGGTCCCTATTCTCATGAAAAAAAAGCCTTGACGACATGGCCCTCAGACTTCAAAGACTCAAGATGAGGACGATGAGGTATCATTACGACGTAATGCTGCAAAAAAAAAAAAAAACAAAATCTGCTAGCCTTTGACACACTTTTCAGGGCACCACTACAGCCAACAGGGGACTCTGACTTTAAAAAAAATACGAGGAAGCTTTTGTTTGTTCTGTGAGGATAGTTAACCCAGTCAAGCAACATTGCCTGCAATGGCTAAAAAGATCCAGAAATCAGACCCAGTCTGTTTTAAGCTCCGAAAGCTAGGCACAAAGGATTGGCAGCTCAAGCGAGACGTGCCTGAAGATATTAAACCTTTCTTCGAGCATCTTCACAGCTAACTTTAGATAACGACTTGCTCCTTTTTGCAGCCCGTGTTATCGTCCGAGCTCGTGTAGAAAGGAAACGCTAAATCTCCTACATGAAGGCTATTTCGGCATCACAAAGACACAACCAAAAGCAAAAGACTGTGTTTGGAGGCGGACAATAGGGGCAGATGTGACAGCCAAATTCAAGCAATACCACCAATGTATCGAGACCAACTGCAACCGCAAAATGTCACTTCAAAGCACGAGTTTCTTGATAGGCCATGGAAGCGCGTTGCAATTGACACCTTCTACTTCAACAGCCAATGGTGGTTGATTGTGACAGACTATTTCTCTATTTCTCGAGATGCCTGAAGTGGCGCGCATTGAGAAACTGACGTCGTCTACGGTCGTCAACCACTGCAAGTCAATCTTCGCACGCCACAGCATTCCAAAGTTGCGGTATCAAATAATGAACCATAGTTCTCATCGTTTGACTTCTCCATATTATCTAGAGAAGTGGTTCTCAATCATTGATGTTTCGCGGACCTCTTGTGGATCGGCGGGTATCATGGAGGACCCTGTTTGTGGTGAGGGGAAGGGAAAGGTTTAAGTAATTATGATAATTAGTTTATAAACGAATAAATCTATTGGCTAGTGTGAAGTAGACTTCTCTGATTGACATACACACAAGAAAATTCACCCGAAAATTGGAACGCTTCATGTTAATATTTGAAAATGCAACTTTAATTGCAGGGCTTGACTGAGGAGCCAGCTGCTTCGCGCACCCCAAAGGCTCCACGGACCTCCATTTGAGAACCACTGGTCTAGAGAATACGACTTCAGGCACACGACCTAAAGCCCACAGTATCCTCAAAGTAATAGATTTGGGTATGTGTCGTGAAAGTTATCAAGACGTCGATGAAGACTCACAGAATACCTGTACTTGACCCCTCTCCCGTACAAATCAAATACTTTGAAAAACGGATACAGCCCCGCTGAACTGTTCATGGGTCGGAATTTACAAAGCAAACTTCCTACTGTTCCAAAAGTAAACATTTCGGCGGAACTCCGCCTGGTTAGGTAAGTATTAAGACAGGGTCTTATTTTTTATTTTTATTTTTACGGAGGTAGGTGGGGGGGGGGGGGGGGGGGGGGAGGGGGGACACCGTGTACCCGAACGTTTTCCGGCCATCGATGAATTTGCCAAATCTGCTGCTTCGTCGGCCACCATGAGGAAAGGACTGGAACACGGGAAGAAGCTTGTCTCACTTTAGGGTCGGCCCAACACCCCTCAAACTTTGAACAAGGGTTTCGTCAAAAACCTCTCTTCGAAAGTGCTCTCTCCAACCGAGACACTAGTTTTGGCGAAACGAAAAAAACGAAATGTACCACTATTTTATCCTCCTCTTGCACTGATAGCAGTTTCCGTTGAGGAAGGTTTACACGAACTAGACCCTTGCATCCTCGAAGAAGCTCGCTTGAAAGCCATTGGCGTACTTTCAAAGGTAAACCAAATGAGGCATTTCAAATATAGCACAGCAGAAAGGTCCGCCCTCAAGAAGCTAAAAGAAGACAACATCACTGTAATTCGTCTTGTTGACAAAGAGAATGTCACAGTGGTGTTGATCCGCACGGACTGTGAGAAGATGGTGCACGAACTTCTGAACACTACAGCGTACACGATGCTACCGAAAGACCCAACATCAAAAATTCAAGGAATCGTAAACAAATCACTTTACGCTGCCTTCAATAGATATCCGGAGTCTGCGGCTATGTACCTGAACTTTATCTTCCGAAACGGCTCGATACCCGCGTTCGATGGCCTACCGAAAACACACAAATCTGGAATTCCACTCCGTCCAATAGTCCACTTACGACGGCACCATAACGAGCGCTGTCAAATTATCTCCATCGTCTGTTTCTTCCACTCATAAGGAAGACCAACATACATGTCGAGAACACAGCCCACTTTATCGAACTCGCTTCGGACCTGAAATTGAACGACGACGAGTGCCTCGTTTGTTTTGATGTGGTATCTCTCTTCACGAGTAGTCTCATTCGACTTGCAGTGTCTGTTATCAGAACGTCACTCACGTCAGACACGACTCTACCTGAAAGAACCCACCTCTCGGTGAATGAGATATGCCGCCTGCTAGAGCTATGCCTGACGAATGCCTACTTTTCTTTCGCTGGTCGCTTCTACAAGCAAAGTAGTGGCACAGCCATGGGTGCCGCAGTGTCCGTCATGGTAACCAACCTCACAATGGAAGACATCGATCGAGCAAAAAGCCCTAAGAACGTTTTCTCCCATACCTACTCTGTTTCTACGTTATGTGGAGGATTGCTTCTGTGTTGCCTAGATCAGTGAAGTCGATCGCCTTCACAAACACCTCAATTCCATCCATCCAGACATTTAATTCTCGGTCGAACGTAAGTCTAACGGTTGTCCCACATTTCTGGATGTGTCCGTAGAATGAACTGGGAACCATTTAACCTTCCAAGTATACAGGAAACCAACGCACACCAACCGCTGCCCACACTTCTCGTCAGACCACTCCACAACTCACAAATCCTCTGTGGTGTCGGCGCTCTTTCGAAGAGCCCTCACGGTCTGCTCAACAAAGGAGACACTAAAGATGGAAGTCGATCTTATGAAACGAAACCTTCGAAAAAACAACTACCCCACAAGATTCGTCAACAAGATACATAAGAAACTTCGTCACCCTTCTACATCCAAAAACAAAAACACCTCCAGCCGCAAGCGCGTCCCGTACCTCCATGGCACGAGCGAAGTCCTAACCCGCGTTCTGAGACCGTACAGCATAGCAGTTACACATTAACCCGTCTCAACTTTAGGCCATCTTCTTCCTCTTCCGAAAGATCGTCCCCCAATAGAAAAAGCTCAAGGCCTGATTTACCGAATTCCTTGTGCTGAATGCGACGCCTCTTATGAGGGGGAAACAAAGAACTTTCCCGAACGTCTGCGCAGACATGAGTATGGCTTAAAGAAGAAAGACATCCAAGGCAACGCGCTGGCGGAACATGCTCAGAAGACCGGCCACGTCATCGGCTTTGACAGCAGTTCCATTCTCGATAGAGAAATAAATTGGAGAAAGCGTATCTTATTAGAATCTTGGCACAAAGAAAGTACTAACCATCAATCTGAACCGATCCACCGGAACGCTGCCAAGCAGCTGTATCTACGGGCTACGATGCACCACACACAAAAACAGAAGAAGAAAACAATGCTAAGAGAGAGAAGAAAACAACGACAGATTGCTACCTTTGGGCCCACATACAGTCACCCGTGAACAAGGAGCCGAGCCGGCTTCGAAACGTCGGGCACATTGAAGGTATTGGTTAAAGTCTACAAAGTACCCTGTCCTACTGTTCCAGGGAAGCTCGCTTTCGAAGTACATGACGTGCAAAATGTACAAACGTTTGAAGAAGAGTACCAAAAATGACAGCAGAAAGACTTCAATCGGTGGCATGGCACACATGCCATGTCAGAACTTTTAAGTAAGGAGGATGCTCGGATAACTGTCCTAAAGCGAAAGGAAACTGCGCAGAGCTCAGCAGAGGGGCCTAGGCCCTACTTCGTTGACGCCGGCAACGCCGATGTGTGACGGAACCTTACCCATCTAGTTCCTTTCCCCGAAAAAGTTCATGGTGCAGACGTCAACATTAATGAAGATGTAGGCGGATCGCATTTTGTGTGAAATGAAAGTTCACACACACATATCAAAAGTCGCCGCCGCGTCAAAGCACCTCAGAGAGTTTAGGTCTTCTCTTTCAATGGAGATGTTGTAAATGGCGAAATCAGCAACCTAGCTGTTGTGCTGGCTGCCACGTGCGGATGGCTCGCACCGCACGCAAAAGAGAATTCTCCCACCCATGGCTGAACGCCGGTAAAACTCCTCTTGACCATCTCGCAGTGCCATTGTGCAACAAGGGGGCCCTGGGGGTGGTGGACCTTATGTACAAAGATTTCACAGAATATACTTACCTAAGTTAAACGTTCGAAACCAAGGACTTAAAAATTGCTACCTTCGGCGTCCGTCTTCTAACGAAGGGCGCCTGATTGGCGCAGCAGCCGACAGCTGGCTGCAGCTCATCAACAAACAAGAGGTGTGTTTTGTTTCGTTTTGCTAGTTTTCTGTTAATTTTGTTGTGCATTATTGGTAAAAATTTAAACAACCACACTCTTACACTGCACAGCAAAGGAGCACATCGCCTCGGGCTAAGAAATGCCGTCTGCTATTGTCTAGGTCGATGGAAGCGACGGTTGTGGCTTCCTACAGAGAGCCTAAATTTAAGAGAGGAAGCAACTGAAACAACGGAGAGTGTTTGCCATTAAACGACAGGCGCCTAAAGTGCAGATTTTTTGCAAGAGCGCATACGTTTCTTTGTCGCGTAGAGAGGTAGAAAGCGGCTGGAAAGACGGAGACACTAGCTGACAATCAGCGCTTTTGTCACCTCTTTTTAGCTCGTGTTGCAAATAAGACACGTGTCCCCGATCAAGCAGCTAGGGACACTTTAAAATCTGGGCATACCAGTCGCGTGCGATCTTACGTACCGCCATCGGTCGGCTCTTACACCAGTCAGACGCCTTTCAGAGGGACGTCGGAGGAGTAGGTATTCAAGTTCTTGCTATCAAACTTTGAAGTCGGGTAAGGTTGTTGAGATGATTTTTCTTTTATACACAAGGTCCACAACTTCCAGGCATCTCCGTGGAAAAGCCTAGCGCGATACGTTAAGAAACCGATTTATGCTGTCTCTCCAAAGAACTAACGAACCCTTTGACTCACGCGGTAGATGTTATTCTTGCAACAGACTCGCAGAATCAAGGCTGGATGGGCTCTACAGGCCAACGCGCCCTTTACAAACAAGCCCACACGGGGAGTGGGCAAACGGGCAGTGCACACCAAAGGCGGGCTCAGTGCGCGCGTGGGGGGGCCATATTCGCGTGAAATGAAGCTTCTGCGCATGCGCCGTAGCGACAAAATCGCCACCACATGTGCGTGCCGTCACAGCCGCGTGCTGGTCTATAGAGCGATTATGCGGCGAACAAACGACAAACTTCACCCGGCAGCACATTCGCGCTGCGAAACGGTCACTGTCCTGGCGCCACACGCAATACAAACGCAGCGGGGCAAACTTGGTCGCGTTTTCGAAACATATTTGGTTCATAGAGTTGGGTTTTAGAAAGAGAATATTTTACGTAACCTAGAAAAGTCATATGTTAACTTCTATATAAAAATTGGGTTGATGTATTACCGGCACGAGCAAGAGCGATGCTGACAATAATAAACGCGGCCAGGTACATTCTCTCTCGAAATTTAGGGCTAACAACTGAGCCAACAAAAATACAATGTCCGAGAGGCCAATGCCATTCGTATGGAGGTTCGACAGCGCTATACAAGGCGAGAAACCTTACAATAGGAAAAGGTGACCTGCACACGAAGCTCTATTTATCTGCTGCAAGAGGTAACCTTTCCGCGAGGAAAGTAGTACCGGTCGTTGACGAGTACGAGCACATCAGCACTTCTCTCGGGGACGACGTTTCGTGCCATTTCTGAAGAGTGCAAGAGCATAGATTTGCCTGCAGCTTTGGCTGCACTTGCCCCAAAAGTTGGTCTTTGACATCTGGAATGGCTAAATTTCGAATGCATCATTTGGCTTTCGCAGACCGTTGGGAGTTGTTAACATTGTAGGCGTAAACGTCGAGCTTTGTTGTTTCGCAATCCGTGTATTTTTGTTTTTACTTTTTCTAGTTAAGAGTTTTTGAAAGCATGAAATGCTTTTTTACCTTTTCAATCCCCCAATATTTTGTCCGTGCGTCCGTCCGTCCGTCCCGGCCTTTCCTGCTGAATTTAGCGGGGAATCGACGCAACATTGGGTAACTTGACGGCACGTAACCTATACGTCAACTCAGTTTCCACGCTAAATTTAGCGGGAAAATTCCCTAGTTGTGGCCAAAACATGAATTCAGTTTTTTCACTAAATGAAGCGGGAAATCGACGTCACGTTACCTATAAAACAATTTAGTGAATAGTGTTGTTTGCATTGGGAAGTCATATTTCGCGAGCCATGATCGCGAGCAACAAGCTGGAGACATGAATAAACAGTTCCAGAACCGCTTGGTTGAGGACGAGGTCAAACGAAAAAGTTAATGCTTCTTTATTACGGACAATACTTTGAACATACCTTAAAATTCGGGGCCGAGCTTTCAGAGCACCTTATGGCCAGCAAGGCTCGGCCTTGCTGGCGATAAAGTGCCTTAATAAAAGATCCCCACGAAACCCTGCTAGCTGCGCTCGTTTTCGAGATCTACCCGATCCCAAGTAGAATGCGCCCGTGGGAGGCAAGGCTCACTGGTACGATTGTAAGAAACACAGCTGCCACCCCAGCATGCAGTAACTCGCTTACTTGCCCTTTCTGCCCTGAAAATGCGGGCCAAAAGCAACTCCTTCGAAAATGATCTAACCATAACAAGATATAACGAGAAAACGCATTCAACGCGGTGCATTAACCATGAGAGCATGGACTCATCTTTCAGGCTCCCCTGACACAAAAGCTTAACATCTTTCGAGACCTCATTGACTAATATGCCCATAAAGCTATGCCAATAAATAGCGAGGAACCGAGTTTTGTTTCCTCAATTCCAAGTTGAACCGAATACCTGCATATACTTATTGAATGTAAGGTAATCATTCATATAAAGATTGGTTTGAATTCGCACCTTAAAGATCGCCGTGGTTAGTTACGCTATCTCGAAGGGAAGTTTTTTTTTATTTCGAGTGTTTTTCTAGAAAAGTATTTACATGTAAAAAGACTAGCTTCCTGTGCTCTGTTTTCCATTACATCTGACCGCAGTCAATCTCATGATCAGATCAAACCAATCAAGCAGTGCCAAAAGTAAAGCATGACGGAACTTGTCGTCTGTAAGCGTTCTCACTGTCTAAACCAATCACGCAAACAGAAAAAAAGTGAAAATCACGGAGCATTAGTGAACGCACAAAGCTTAAGGCGAAGAAATATTATTTAATTTTTTTTTTAGTTAATATTCCGATTCAAATTAGTCCATTAATACTTACCGGCCCGATTTCTGGGTGTCTCGTTGAACGTGTTATTAAGATATGCATTTCGATCCGGCTCAGGTCAGATCGAAATGCACATCTATACATTATATCTAACGTATTGCCGTAATGATTACTGTTTCTGGCCCGAAATCTTGTGCACGGAATATTCGTTCTAGATACTGCTATTATGGTCGTACTTTATAGAACTAATGTAGGGAGAACGTTCGACGAACTTTGCTGGGAGAACGTTCGTTGGACAAGCGGCGCAACATCCACGGTAATGATGACACGCGTAGAGCGAACGCCGCTGGGCAAAACTCGTTGCTTTTTTTGGCTATATGTGCGCTCGATGAAGCTCGTACTTGAGAAAGAGTATACTTTTGCATAAACATAAGAAAGCGATATAAGAATTTCTTTATAAAAGAGCTGGTACATCACCGGCATGAGCAACAGCGACGCTGAGAATAAGAAGCACTGTCAAGTACATTCTCCCACGATATGAAGCGCCTACAAATACGCAAAAGCAATACGAATATTGTAGATGCGATTTATATAATTGCACTTTCTTGACCTGCGAAGCAGCTGCAAATCACGTGCACAGGGAAGCAGCTTTTAGGAAATGTTCACATTGCAAAGTAAATGTCGTTGCTCTTGGTTTTTACGTTGCCTCTAATTTCGTTTTTACTTTTAAGGGTTGAATTACTTTATTATTATTTTAGCTACTCAGACATAGCACCGGAACGTCTCAACTAAGGACGAGAGTAAACAAAGAAGTTTTTTTGGGTTCTTTTACGAACAATATTCGGAAGAGTTTCTCCCAATTGGGGACCGAGCTTCGTTTTCATTTTATAGAAGAATCAAACTTCCACATACAAGCGCCGTTTTTATTTATTTCTTAAATTATTTATTAGATATAGCGACTTTCAGTTAAACGTCTTAGCAGGAGTGGAAGTTTTCATCAGAGGTAGACAATAAATGGACACAAAATGTGTGTCCTAGATGAAGTGCGTTATCAGATTTGGTGAGTGATGAAAGCGTGAAAATTTGATTTGACACTGACTATCAATCTTGAATTACCAAGGGAAAAATGAATATTTGAAAACGTTGTGTGTAGATCTTTATTGCTGAATTGATCTAGTATTAAAGGTCTTTGCTGATCCGGCCGATGAGGAAGTGATATGTTGTTAAATATTTATATATATATTAAACTTGCCGTGGGTAAAGGAGTAAATAAGTTTCAATATAATAATTATTGCCCTCATTTTTCAACCTCTTCATATTTTCGTTTGTAAGCACGTGCGTCCCAGAAGTCAGGTTTCTTTATACGTTGAAGATGAACCCAAGAGCTTGGTTTTTGACACCTTCAAGTCTGCTCAACCTGCCTGCCATATGGGAAAACCAAACATAGTTAGCGTACTCCAGCATTGGTCAAAACTTAAAATCAAACTCGACGTTTAGTGATTTATACAGCGTTAGGTCGGTCTGCCAGTAGGGGCGACACTGGTTTACACTCTAGATGAGCAATTTCGCCAGTGCAGTACGACTGCTAACCTGAGGTCTTTAACGTGCTCACGCAGTAGTGATACACGATCGCACGCCGGTACGATTCTCATCCAGATCGAAACGGGCAGGGGTGGGGCTCGAACCCAGGATCCCTGGGTTCTGCAGCGCGAGTTTTCGCTCCATGCGCGTCAAGCTGGGTGTACGCTTTAGCCCACTTAGTGTTTCACATAGCATAGTTTTGTCTTGGCATTGGCAAATTTAAGGGCACGCCGAAGCGCCAAAAAAGTTACAACTAACCCTGTTCACAATTTTATCATCATTTTGATTCGATGTCGACTTTTCATTAAACGTAAAGCCGAGGTATTTATAATGGTATACAAATTTTATATTTTATTTCCGTTCGCAGGGTAATTAACATGCAGGGAATTTTTCCCATGTTTTGGTAATTGTTGGTGTTTTCTCATAACTTATTTCATTTGCAATCGATTAGACAATTCTTCAATCTGCAGTAGGGCATATTTAAGATTTATTTTATCCTAGGGGGACACTATTTCCGAATAAATCACACAGTAATCTGCAAAAAGCTTCGCTGGTACACGTATGTCTTTTGCGATATCATCCATAAATATAAGACAAAATGTTGACCAAGTACTGATCCTCGTGGTACCCTCAAGTGACAGGAAGGTGATTAGAGGATATACCATTAATTACGACGTGCGGAGTCCCTTCAGATAAGTAGGTAGCAGTTCAGTTTATTAGTTGGTCATTTTAAAAAGATAAATTGAAAAAGGCTCGAGGCGAAAGTTTGAGGAATGAAACTCAATCAAAACCTTTAGAAAAGTGTGGAAATATCACATATAGTTGTTCTCGCTCGTTTATTGTAGTAGCGAACGAGCGCACGACTTCTGTTAACTGGGTGACATTGGAGGGGGCTTTTCTGAAGCCGTGTTGGAATTCGACCAGAATATTATTTGTTTCGAGATATTCTGTCATATGCCCAAATATTATATGTTCAAGTAGATTGTAGCAGGTACTAGGTATGTTTATATTTCGTGTTTTTTTTTGCGATAGCCAGATTTATAAATAATGAATATTTTCTCTCTTTTACAATACATGGGTAAAACATTATATTCGAGAGAAACTGCAATATTATGTGTAAATATTTTGACATCCACCCTACATACCACCATCTCAGGGTTTACAAGATGTCGATTGATTACCAGCTCGCCTGCACTCTCTCACTGCGTAAAATCTTGTTAAGCAAACGGGGGGGGGGGGGGGGGGGGGGGGGGCAGGACTTTTGTTAGGGTCTAGGAGATTCAGTAATTTGAAAAATGTCGACTTTAAGATTTCACCATCTTGAATCCCAGGGGAGAGAATGTCTTCAAACTCGTGCAGCTGACTACTGTCTTTTGTGATACTGATTTACCAATACAATTTACCACATAAATCTTTGGCAAATACATAGTAAGTTAAAGTTTCTAAATGATTGGGTCCAAAGTTGCTTCCTCAATGTCATTCACCGCTGTACGCTCTAACCATTTGGAAAATCGTCAAACGGAGATCTAATATCCGAAAGAGTGTCGCTTAAAGAGACTTACGTCATTGGCGCTGTTCCTATGCATTATAATGTACGAGGTAGTCGGCGGAAAAAACTAGCCGCAGTTTTTCTCATCTCAAAAACCAATATGTTTATTGGCAGATGGCCAAGCTTTGTCACGATGTAGTCCTTGCGGTTGGGAAACCTTTTCAAAACGTACAATTGCCGGAGTAATACCTCTGTTTTACGAAGACATAAGAGGCCTTAAAAAAAATCCTTACAGAATCTGCGAACCCACACAGGTTGATGGGAACGCGTAAAGTGGAAGTCGCGAGCTGATCTGCCGAAACTTGGAACGACATTCACGAACACCTTAGCATCCGTTAAGTCAGATTATAAAACTGTTGCACGCGAAAAATCTGTTTTCAGCTGAGTTTCGCACATGACGCTGACGTAGATGGCTAAGTGCAGAAGGCAGACATGAAACAACTCTTTACGCTAAGCTACAGGTGTGCACAGGGTAAGTGGGAAGGGGGGGGGGGGCAGTGGGGGCATTGACTTTCCTAAGTGTAATGACCAAGGTTTCATTTTTCTTGTCTATGCTTATTTTGGGATTCGTTCTGCTGATCCCTGAAAAATATTTTCGATAGCTACACCGGCGTTTCATCGGTTACAACAAAGAATGGAAGCTTTTTTTGGGAGGTACTTTGTTCCCACTTTTTCTTTCCGCAAGATAAAAAGACTCTTTCCAAAGGTCAGAGCCGTCTTGTGGCAGTCCCAAAAGCTCCAATATTGTCACTCTAATGGCGGTGATAGGAGAGCATGCTCGGCTTGCACCCTCAATTTCGTGAATTGAGGGTGATGTAAAAGGACCAACATCTTTTCTCATTTCTGCTCTATGTTTTGAACGCGTTTGCTTCCGGCATGGAGAAGCTGTGTAGTGCCGCCATTAAATCGTCGGGTTTGGCTTTGCACAGGGTGGGTAAACGGACTTTCGGGAACAGTCTATATGGCCTCAATCCCTAGCCGGCTACAACGTTATTTTTTAATCTTTGGTTACATGTCAACGCCTAAATTTACTTTACCTCAAAGGCTATATACTACGTTCACCTTAAGGCCCGTTCACACAGTTGCGTTCGGAGCGACCACTACGCTTACGAACGAATGCAACCGGTTGGGACGACGAGTTACCATAGCAACGAAGCGCCAAACGGTCGTTTTGTTTTGGTTCGTTCGCAACGCAAGGAGTTGAGCCGGGCTCAACTTTTTTGTTACGTTAAGGAACGACGGGAGTGACAGACCAATCGCAGGTCGAGGAGCTCGATCGCGCGCGTTGCATGCCGGTCGTCCCAGGCTCCTTCTATTTGCAAACATGGCGTCGGTGGTGATCGTCGAGATGGACGGCGTGGTGGACGCTCATCGTTCCCCGTAAAAGCACTATCCTTGACTGTAAATTTTCGTCGTGGGTCGTTATGATAACCCAGCACGTACTAGAAGGGAAGATTCACCTACTCGTGCGGCGATCTCGTGGCGGCACTCCAAGACAGCAGAAACGCCCGTGCCGTCGTGTTTGCTTACTTCGACTACAGTGGTGCTTTCTTAGCATATGTGTCCTCGAACATCGACCGGATTTCTTTTTTGGAGCATTCCATGCTTGTGCTCAAGTTCAAGGTATTACTGGTGCGTACCGTATAAAGGATGCGAGTTTTCATACGTTTTCATCACCCGAGAAAGGTGAATAGTGTAAACAATCCTGAACGCTCGCAACCGTGTATCTGATCACAAAATTATATTTCTGCATCGCTATATCGCTGCGAAAATTACATCGTCTTTTATGATCGTAGAAAAGGCGTGTGGCGAGATTTGTACTGTTGGCAAAGTCGTGTATTAAAGTCGTGATCGTGCAAGACGGCGTACTGCATCGTTTCCGTTTTCTAATGCGCTACCCTGCAAGCGTATCCTGAAAACAAAAACAAAAAACGTTTAGGTCATTGTAGACGGTCTGTCTATTTTCTGTTACGCAAGTGAGTGGCAGAGCGTCCCTTTCTTTTTAGAGGCACCGCTGAAATAGCTGGCGGTGGCGGGGAGGCGGTCGCCGTGCTGCCGACCCGCTGCGCTTGTGGCAGTGGTTGCAGGAGTGTACGCCCGGCGCAGAGCGGTCGTTCCGGTCGCTCTGGTCACAACAGACGCAGTCGTGGATAACGAGTTTGTTGCAGATGTCAGAGCCAGCTTTTACACAGATATTGTAGGCGCACAGCGGATCTTCGTGTCTGTTCGCCGTAGTCGAAACCTCCGGCTGCTCCGGTGAGGAGTCTGAGGACCTCGTGTCGGGTAGGAAACCGTCCGCCATGTTGGTAAGCGTAGTTGGGTTGCTTACTATTGGCTAGGAGCAAGAGCTGAAGCTTGTTTCTCATTGGCTATTGGTTCGTGTGGTTGCATGCGGT